TCTCTCTCTCTCTCTCTCTCTCTCTCTCTCTCTCTCTCTCTCTCTCTCTCTCCTCTTCTCCAATGTTCCTTGAACTTGGCTGGGGAAGGAGAGGGTTTGAAAAAGATGTTCCATTTAGGACTGACCACTCCAACCTGATTTTTTGGTACTTTTAGCAGTAGGTTCTAACCATGTAGTCATTTATGGTGGGCAACTAAGAACAGTGCCAATAGCCTGTGTTGTTTTGGAGACTTCTGGACCCTCTGTGACCAACAACTTATAGGAAGGTATCCCTGGCCCTGCAGTTTTCATTTAACACATGTCTTCTGGAGTGGCTTTTTCCACTCTTGCAGAATACCTCTGTCTCCTGTTACTATCACATCATCATTGTATGCTGAAGTTAGCTCTCTAACTTACGGATTTCCATAAGGCTTTTTCATGTATCCTTAGTTGTGTTTAACCCATACCTTTCTCTCCTCCATTTCCTCACCCTTCCCCTGCTTAATCCTTTAACCCATTTCATGTCAGATTTATTCTACTGTCCCCTTCAGTTATGTTTTTAAATTGGGTTGCACTTTAGCAAGTTTCCATATGGCTTTTTTCATACTATCTTCTTTAGGTCGATCCCCTCCACCCTCTGATTTCCTCCAGTGTTCCGGTTTTTTATTTGCCTGTGCTTTACTGTGGCACTGTCAACTATCCCAGTTGTGTTATTGTGACTGCTGTGCACACCTTATGACTGTATCCTCCTCCTGACTGCAGGGGTAAAAGGGAGCCAGGTCTAAGCAATAAAATCTGTAAAATAAAATTGTTAACTAGTAGGGGGGTGTGGATAGTTTGCATATAAAGATGACATCATCAGTATTATTAATTAAAAAAATCTATCTTAATTTATTGAAATCACTTTTTATGATACTTATTTTTTCCTTGTATGACATAATATCTCCTAGCTATTAAGGTGAATGTATTTCTACTGTTGGTACAAAAGTACATATACTCAGCTGTGGTGCTTCCACTAATACCCAAGTAAGATTCATGCTCATGACTGTTTTGTTTAATAGTTCCAGTAAGTGATCCAAAGCTGATCTGTTGATGTTATGGTCTCTAAGCAGAATATTGATCCTGAAATTATACATGATACCTGTTTTTCTTGAAGATTCCATTAGTTTTATTTTCATAAGAATGCTATGTATTTGTGTTTGAATCTTTAATTATATGTGAGTGACAGTATAGTATTTTCTGGATAATATTTTCTTACTTAGCCCTAGCCCCTCTCAACTACCTGCTGCAAGAAGTTCTTTTCTTGTTTTGAAATTTAAACTATATGTTTGAAAAGAGTGAGGATAGAAAAGGTAGTTCCTGGAATGTAACAATACCATACCTGACTTTCTGTCCTGACCTGGTTAAGAGTAGATCACTTGAAGAGTTTCTCATTCACTTGGGTTTGTGGCTGTTTAAACTGTGTACAAATAATTCTTTTGAGTATTACAAATCTAAGGGTGTTTTCTTACTAAATTGTCCATGAATTGACTGATTTTTACAGGAGTACTTTTCTTCTAAACTTGGAACCATAAAATAGAAACATTCCTAACTAGTTTCTTTTTTATCAAAAAATATACTCTACTAATACAGTTTTTTAGTTGTAGTTTTTGTGTAGAATGAACCCTGGGAATCTGTCAAGGTACAGGTACCGTGTGTGTGTGTGTGTGTGTGTGTGTGTGTGTGTGTGTGTGTGTGCGCGCGCGTGCAGGCTGCTGCTCGTCTCTCGCAGTGTGATCTCACTGTGTTGCTCTGGCTTTGTTTTGCATAGGGTGCTGGCCAGGATAAACTGGGAATCTACGTGAAGTCTGTTGTGAAAGGAGGCGCTGCGGATGTGGTCAGTATTTGTTTTAAAGGAAACAATTGAAGGGCATTATGTACTTTAGTGTTGTAAAATGCTGTGCAAATGCTTCTAGCTGTGGGTGCTCTGTGGTGTGAAGGGTGCTGCTGTGTACTGACAACTACCTTTCTTCTCCCTACACTTGTATTCTTCTGGTGGCTAAGGATGGACGTTTAGCTGCTGGTGACCAGCTCCTCAGTGTGGATGGACGAAGTCTGGTTGGACTTTCTCAGGAAAGGTATGACTAATTGGCTAGTTTACAGCTTATTCTTAGTGTATTGAAGTGATATTTTACATTTAATTTTTAAATTGAAATTCAAAAAGTAGTGCTGAAATAGTTCCATGCCCTCACATACCTTCACCTTTTTAATTCTAAAATTTAGAGTACACGAATCTCATTTTTCTATTCACTCATAAATACATATTTTAGTCTAGAATATTCCTTTAAGTGAATATGTAAATACACACACATGCACATATACTTAGTGCTTGTAGAATTTTTGAATATTGTCTGAGAATAATATGATAATATAGAATATATTTACATGTTTTTATAATTAAATTTCAAAAAGGATGTGGGCAGGAAGTAATCTTTCTGAAAGGCAAACTTATTTCCCCAAACAGCTATCAGGCTGAGGAACCTGAGCATGAGTGTTTTGAACACAGGCTCTCCTGTGAGAGTGAGCATTCAGTTTTCTTATACTCTGTATTTTCTTCCTAGGGCAGCAGAACTCATGACAAGAACCAGTTCGGTGGTCACACTTGAAGTTGCAAAGCAAGGCGCCATCTATCACGGCCTGGCCACCCTCCTTAACCAGCCATCCCCCATGATGCAGAGAAGTAAGAGCTAGTGACTCAAGCCAGCATAGCTGCCCTACCCTGATCCAGCACTGTAGTATGCCTCCCCTAAAAGTGATCAAAAGCTGGGGCTGGAGAGATGCTCAGTAGTTAAGAGTACCCACCTCTCTTCCAGAGGACCTGGGTTCAATTCCCAGCACTCACACGTTAGTTTACAGCTGTCTGCTCTTCCAATTTCAGGGGATTTAATGCCCTCCTTTAACCTCCTGGAACACCAGTCAAACATGCATGGCATAGTGCTCACATGTATAAGATAAATTGTTTTTACAAAGGGAGTTATCGGAAGTCGCATGTAGTAGCTGCTGATAATGTTACTGCCCAGTTCTTAAAGTAAGAAGTTGAGAAAGAGTGCAAGGTGCTGAGAAATACTAGTAGGTCAGGATTCGGATGGACACCAGCCAACTTGAGCCCACACTTGGTTCACCCAGGCTCCCCTGGTTCTCAAGAGAGCTTTCTCCTCAGCCCATTGGGCTGAGTGTCTGCTGATGAACTCCTAGATTATGTACCGAGTAGGGGGATGCTCAGGCACCAGTGACAATGAATGCAGTTTTAATTTTGATAGGCATGATCAGAACATAAAGTCTTTAAGATAGGAAGCTTATGTCATGCTCTTTGGAAGAGATTGTATATGCATGTGTGTGGAAGTAGTTCTTTTTGTTCTGCCTGTGCCAAAATAGGGCATAGTTATCTTGCCATATTTCTATTCAGAGAAAATTCAGTTATTTCAGCAAAGTAATTTATTTGTGGAAGCTGATCCTCCACATTTGTGGAAGCTTGAAGATCTTAAAATCTTCAAGAAAAAAAATCAATATAAATTTAAGGCTTCCTAAAAAATTATTTTTAGAAACTACAACAGGAAGAAACGTTGTGACTTTACTCTTCTGTGATCATTGACCCTTTAGATCAACCTTAATGATAGAGTTTGCTAAATGTATGCTCAGTCTGTTAAGTGTCTTCTCGTTAGCCCTTTCCTCCCAAGTCAGCTTGGGAACCTGCACATCCCAGCACCTGGCCTTTGTAGTGCATTACAGTATCAACAGCAAGAAAGATGTCTGACAGCCTAGAATCCCATTTACTAAATCAGAGAAACAGCGAGGTTTCCTGACAAAATCATGAGTTGGCCTGTCTAAGCAGAACATCATTTAGAAACCCAAAGAGGGAAGTGGGTAATGAATCCGTCCCAGGAGAGCAGAGGAGAAGACTGAACTGAGGACAAGGAGTAGATAATTACAGCAGGTGACAGCATGGGATGCCATGACTGATGGATATAATATATGCTTTGTCAAGTGAGAGAAGTGTATTTACCTTGGATGGCTTTTTAAAAGTTACTCTAAAAATAGATACAGTTCAGTTGTTGAGAAAATAAAGTCAATTTCCCTCATAGATACATACCAATTAAGTGAAATATTTTCTAGCCACAATATATTTTAAACTGTTTGAAATTTTTTATATAAAGCTGTTTGTGATGGCATGCACCTTTAATCCTAGCACCCAGGAGGCAGAAGTAAGCCTCCTGATTTCTGTGAGTTTGGGGCTACCCTGGTCTTTCTAGTGAATTCCAGGCCAGCCATGGCTATCCAGTGAGACCCTGGGTTTTGTCTTGTTCTGCTTGCTTGTTTTTTGTTTTTTTTTTTTTAAGCTGTACAAAGAATATATATGAAAATCACCCTACTATACTAAGAACAATTATGAAATATAAGTATTTTAGATGCATCCTTTGAAGCTTTTCTGAACATTCAAAGCAGACTCTTAGAACCAATGAAAGGAACAGAGAACAAATGAATCCACTTTGATTTCAGTTTCAGATCGTCGTGGCTCAGGTAAACCCAGACCAAAGAGTGAAGGTTTTGAACTCTATAATAATTCAGCTCAGAACGGCTCCCCGGAGAGTCCTCAACTGCCTTGGACAGAGTACAGTGAGCCAAAGAAACTCCCCGGTGACGACAGGCTGACGAAAAACAGAGCCGATCACCGCTCCAGCCCCAATGTGGCAAGTAAGAAGAACTGTTCCTAAGTGTGCTTGGTTACTGCCAGAAGCTGGGGCACGTTGTACTTGTTAGTTATTATTTGCATCTGTTGGTTACCTAGAATAGAGTTTTCAGAGGTATCACGATATTTGACAGAAATAAAATTTCAATTTTGATTGGAAAACCCTTGGCTCAGTGGATACTGTAGACCAAAATCCATTGCTGATGTCTCTGAAAAAGGTTGTCAGGTGTCCAGCTTAAGCTGAGGTCTTCTACTTTTTAGAGAGTTGCTAACAAAGAAGTAAGAATAGGAGGATATTTAATAGAGACCCCCAGTTCAAACGGCCTTAAGTATTTACTCTCAAGTCTCTTGACCAAAGATGTCAGCCATGTCCTGGCCCTGGAGAAAGTCCTTTTCTGGGCTGTGGTGGCAGGAACGTGGGGTTGTATAGAATTGGCTTCTTGTACCTCTTTGTCTCTGACTCTGTGGTGGACATCATGCCAATGTGTGACATGCCAGTGTATGATGTGGCTACTACCTTTGAAGGGATGTTGCTGTGTTTATTTTACTTGTCATTTAATGTGAAACTGGGTTTTCTTGACTGTCCCCAACAGATCAGCCTCCTAGCCCTGGAGGGAAGAGTCCATACGCCTCTGGAACAGCAGCTAAGATAACATCTGTCTCCACTGGAAACCTCTGCACTGAGGTCTGAGAATGAGCTGAAAGACTTTCTCACTTATAGACTATCCAAGTTGTCTGATACAGTGCTCAACAAGTTACATTGACTATATAACTCCTGAATTTTTGTTATTTAATATTTTTACATTTAATACACTAGTCGGATAAGTAAGTTTTAAATTAATAAGTCTGGGGAAAATGAGAATTAGTCCTGAGTACATCTAGAAAAATTAAAATATTCTCATTATTCATAGTGTAGAATCAAATTTTCAATTCCTAGCATAGCATTTGATGTACATGCTTTTTAAAAAGATTGTAAAACAGATCAAAGGGTATTAAGTTAGCCTTTCAAACAATTTAAATAGCTCTTTCTCTTTTTCTTTACATTTTACAGGAGCAGACCCCTCCACCTAGACCTGAAGCCTATCCCATCCCTACTCAGACATACACCAGAGAGTATTTTACCTTTCCAGCTTCAAAATCCCAGGATCGTATGGCTCCTCCTCAGAACCAGTGGCCAAATTATGAGGAAAAGCCACACATGCACCCAGAAAGTAATCATTCCAGTATTGCAATCCAGGTTAGAAATAATGGACTCACAAACTTTTCTCTCTCTCAAAGGAGTATGGTACACTAGTTTGTCAGGATAAAGACAGTGATGGCTGTTTGTCTTTTTCTTTAAAAATATTTATTTGTATTTATTGTGTGTGTGTGTGAGAGAGAGAGAGAGAGAGAGAGAGAGAGAGAGAGAGAGAGAGCGAGAGCGAGCGCATGGGGCATGTGGACAGAAGTCAGGACAGTTCTCTCCTTCAACCATGTGGGTTCTGGCATCCAACTCAGGTCACCAGGCTTTGGCAGCAAGCGCCCTTACCCTGCTGAGCCCCCTTGCCCGCTCAAGACGGAGTAAGTTTTGAGACACAATTGGTAACTTTAAATAAGGTTGTCCTCTTATTTTTGTATATGTGTGCTTAAGTCTGAGGCAAAAAGGAGTAGCCTAAAATACAGAACACCCCAAGAAAAGGAGTTCTGTGCTCTCTTAATGTTTGGTTAATGGAATGTTGGTAATGTAAGGCACAGTTACAGCTTTGAAGGCCAGGCTCACTGATTGGGAGTGAAAAATGAAATATAGTGACTGACATAGCTTTCACTTGGTTCTGTCCCTGCCAGTGGATTTGGAGGTAGGGCTGAGAAGTGAGACATACAGAAAACGTAGAGTTGCTGAAAAAGTGGGTACCCCTGAGGATCTCCGTGTGGAAAGAACCTGGCCACTCTAGATCCCATCCCGGGTGCTTGTGTGGAAGACCATTTCTGGCTGAAGGAAAAGGCCTGGGCATGAGAAGGCAGGACTGGAGTCTGAAGGCAGAGGGGGCTCATTAGAAGGTTGTGGGAGCTCGCTGAGGAGGTTATACTTCTGTCCAAATCAGTCAAGACAGAGATGTCAGCCTGGGGAGTTAGACTGGGAAGGACTATTAGATGTGACCGGGAGAAGAAGCCAGCTTCTTCTTGTGCTTTAGAGAGAGAAACAGTCCAGGAGAGTAAGTGATGTGGGAATTCCAAAAATAATCATTCCTCATTAGAGGGTCACAAAAGACTGTTTTTCAAGCAGACATAGGATGAGAAAAAGGGCAGGCGGAGAGCAGAAAGAGTTGTACTCCAAGGTAGGAGGGAACTTCCTTTAGAAGACAAAAGGGATCCTCCTCGTGTCCCTGGAGGGACCGCATGACATAGCAGCTGCCTGTCCTCCATGCCTGTCCCACGCCTTCTCTAGGAGCAAAGCAGGGCCACATCAGGCAGCAGGCGCAGAGCTGCATTTCACGGTGGGGCCAGGTCTCTGTTCCACGGGTAGATGTAACTTGATGATCCGTGTGGTTTGTAGATTGGGTTGCCACCATGATGAAGAACCTGTGCAAAGATAAGCTGTACCTAAATGGAGTTAATGCTACACTTTACCTATTGTAGTTAAATGGTAACTCATATTTTTTAAAGGAAAAAATAGTTTATTTTTCAGGTTTACACCTTCAATTTCTGTTTACTATCAAGGTGGGATCAAGATAATTGATTTCCATATCAGTGATCATTTTTATAAGGATGATCTACTTCTGTACATGCCTCTTTGCAGGCTTCATTACTAGTCTTGTGGGGGAAAAATACTTGTTTTAATCTCTTTCCTCATGCACTCAGAAACTTTATGCTCATCAAAATATGCTCTTACTTTTTTTCTCTGCTAACACTGGAGCTGAAACATCTTACACTTGCATGCTCGGCTCAGTCAAAGAGCTCACGAAGCTAGCCCTGAGCTGTAGAACCCATTCACACTGAGCCATGGATGTATACAATGAGTACTGTGTAATAATTACAATTACAGGACAGAGGAAGTCAGGTGTGGCTGGTCCCTCTGCAGCCTGAGCAGATGCCTTTACCTGCCAGCCCCAGAGGGCCGGTCCTTTTGTAGACAGGCTCTCAGCTGTGTCGTTGGGCCGGTGAACCATGAAGCAGTCTGTTTCTGGTTATACATTCACTCCACCATTCTTGAAGTCTGTCTTCTCTGTGAAGATGAAACATGAAATTTTGGTAATTTCTCTGGTGAATCCCTGAGTATGACTTTTTCCTCTTTTCTCAGCGTGTTACCCGTTCCCAGGAAGAGCTTCGAGAAGAGGTTTACCAACTTGAGCGGCATCGAGTAGAGGCTGGCTTGGATCGCAAGTGTGACAGTGATTTGTGGATTAATCAGAGCTCCTCCGTGGATTCCAGCACATCCAGCCAGGAGCACCTGAACCATTCCTCCAAGTCAGTCACCCCGGCTTCCACTCTGACGAAAAGCGGTCCTGGGCGGTGGAAAACCCCAGCAGCGGTACTGCCTACCCCTGTCGCTGTCTCCCAGCCCATTCGAACAGACCTACCTCCACCACCCCCTCCACCTCCTGTCCACTATACCAGTGATTTTGATGGCATTCCCGTGGATTTGCCCCTCCCACCTCCTCCTGCCAACCAGGTAGGACCCCAGTCTGCTCAGGCGGCTGCTGCAGAGCGGAAAAAGAGAGAAGAGCATCAGCGGTGGTATGAGAAAGAGAAGGCCCGCCTCGAGGAGGAACGGGAGAGGAAGCGCAGGGAGCAGGAGCGGAAGTTGGGGCAGATGCGCACGCAGTCCCTGAACCCCGCTTCCTTCTCTCCTTTGGCCACACAGGCCAAGCCAGAAAAGCCCTCCACACTGCAGCGGCCCCAAGAAACAGTCATTCGGGAGCTGCAGCCCCAGCAGCAGCCCCGCACGATTGAGCGCAGGGACCTGCAGTACATCACCATCAGTAAAGAAGAACTGTCCTCTGGTGATAGTCTCTCTCCAGACCCCTGGAAACGAGATGCCAGGGAGAAGCTGGAGAAGCAGCAGCAGATGCACATTGTGGACATGCTGAGCAAGGAGATCCATGAGCTGCAGAGCAAGGTGGACCGCACTGCAGAGGAGAGTGACCGCCTGCGGAAGCTAATGCTGGAGTGGCAGTTCCAGAAGAGACTGCAGGAGTCCAAGCAGAAGGATGAGGATGATGAGGAAGAGGAAGATGATGATGTGGACACCATGCTGATCATGCAGCGTCTGGAGGCCGAGCGGAGAGCCAGGGTAAAGGGGAAAGGCCTTGGTTGTGCGTATCTGTGCTTCCTGTGGTATTTTCTGGGCATTTCTGTGGAAACAGCTGTTTTCACAGTCATAGGAAGAGGTGAACGGCTCTTGCTTTCTCCTGCTCACTCTGGCTAACATGTTGCAGGAATGAGCCAGGCCCCCAGGGCTTCATTGTTTTAGTTAGCCAGCCCCATAGTTATCCTCACTACACTTCAGTTGAGAAAACAAGTACTTAGTAATGACCACTCCAGGGCTTGGCCATGTTTCACTTACAGGGCCAGAAGGTAAATACCTGAGATTTGGGGGACTGTGTAAAGTGTAGTGACCACTTGCTCTTGTGTGAACAAAGCAGCCACAATTGTCATGCAAACACTGAGGAAATCACACAGAAAGCTTCTGGCCCTGACACTAATTGTGAGCAAAGGGAACTTCAGTACATCAGTTTTAAAGTTCAGTGTCATTACCAGATGTAGAATCTGTGCATTTATTTTATGGTTGATACATCTAGTATTTATTTAATTTAGTAGTTGTAGTTGTAACATAAAGATGCTAAAAACTTTGGGTATAATTTACATCTTTCCATATTACAAAAATAATTTTTATTATTTTTGTTTCAAATAAAAATTCTGTAGGTAAATTTAAATTAGCCTAATGCAAATAAGTTCTTAAAATACCAAATTTTGGGTAAAAACTGGATTCTTTGCTTCCTGTCAGGCATGGTGGTTCAGAGGCAGTTACTGTTATTAACCTGGGCACTTGATAGTAACTGGTGGAGAGTGCTGTTGTCCGTCATGTTAGTGAGTTTTATTGATACTTTTTATCTATACAATTTTTTTTTTCTGATTTCTTTTTTTCTTTTCTTTTTTTAGTGTTGTACATGAAAGAGGTTGTTAAAACAGCTGTTAGGTCAGACATCTTACTCCCAAGGCATGATGAAATTTAATCTTTGATGATATTGTAAAAGTCCAGTAGTGTGATCATTCCCTTTTCAGCTTGCTCTGTGATTTTTTCCTGTAGACTGTCACACGCATACTTCTTCATATAAACATACTTCAGCATATACATTCAGCTTAAATACCTTTTAGATACTGGCTTTCTTAAATGAGAACAGAATGTAATTTTTAACAGTTAAATTATTTTACTAGTATTTTTCTAGTATCCTTAGTAAAAACGTTCTTGAAAATAACAACATCTACCACATCAACCATTTTATCTGAAAGAGCAGCTGATGACTGGGACTTCTGCTGTAAGGGTGCACTGAGTAGTTTTCATTGTGCTTGTGGTCAGAGCACTCAGGCACTCCAGGATAGCTATTGTCTGGACTGGCCAGAACTGTATCCCTCTCTACCCTGACTGGCTAGTCTAGTGATGGACACAATGCGTTGTGGCTTTATATTGCCCTCAAACCAAGATACATGAAGCAGGTGGCTGCTGCTCTTCATGGCCAGTGATCACACAGCATCAGTGTTACTTGTTTTGACAGCTGATCCTAATAGTGAAAAGTTAGCTACTATACATTGTAACATCTCAGTAATCTTTTCTATGAAGATGAAAATTTTATTGAAGATTTGTCATAGTTTTGCAAAATTGCTACTACTTTGAATATTTTGAAGCCTTTAGTATGAATTATGAAGCTTGGAAACTTTTTGATATTAGTAAAAAGTAATTTCACTTTAATAATTATATTTAGTTTAATATCTTAGTCTCCAAATAAAAACACTAAGGAAAATTTTGCTTTTTTTAGTATTTGTGTCTCTTAATGGTAAAACTCAAAATATTAATGACGTGGACATTTTTCTGTTTCTGAATGCTAGAAGTTAGTCTGTGGTTCTATAGTTTCCTCATCAAGTTGTCCAAAAACAGACGAAGCATGACAGCAGCAAAGGTGCCGGTGGCGGAATACAGGTCTAAACCTAACTTTTTTTTTCACACTTCATCTTTCTTTTTTTTCCCCCTTCTCTGTTACCTGCAGCAGACTGCTATGCCAGCAATCTCTGTTCTAGATTTGGTATGTTCTTGTTTCTTTCCCTTTGGTACTTTTTTTTTTTCTGTCTTGATTTTCATTTCTCCTTTGGTGATGGCTGTTCTGTGTTCTCAGTAGTCAGTTCTCCCGAGAGCCTCCTGGGTCAGGAGACTAGCTCTGTGATTAGAAGCATGCCTCTGAATGTTACTAGATTAGTTACTCTACTTCCTCGTTAACTTTAAATGTTACTGTTTGTTTATGGGTTTGACTTTTTTACAGTTTTAGTCATAATTTGATTCTGTGTATTCTTCAAGTATGTGAGCAAATGAAATAAGTTTTGCATTGGGTAATTATTTCATTCTTGTTGCATTAGAAACAGATTTTAAGTATGTTCACTGCGAACTCACTTGAAAAGACATTGACATTATCCCAGATTTAAAATGTAGTTAAGATGTCACTGTTTATGGTAAAGCAAGAGGTTTCCTGTGAACCTGCATTCTATTTTTCTTAATACCATGTGGAAATTTCAGTTCATTTAACAGATGTATCAGTTTATAGCCTGCCATCAAACAATTGCATTTATATTTTGCTGTTAAATCAACATGCTTAATGTCAGCATCAGAGAAATTTGGTTGGTTATTATTTAATGTTCTTTATGCTTCAGTAATAATGTGTTTATGTTACCCAGTAGACAGTTATAATCTGACATATATATCTATATTCTTAATTCAGAATCTATTCTGTGTCGACTTCTAAATGATAAAAAAGCCAGTGCTTTGAAAACTCCCTGAATTAAAGTTTTAACTGTAGTAGCCACCTCATCAAATACTAGCCCCTCTTTTCTGTTTTTGCAGCTTGAGGACAGGTTACCCAGAGAGAAACATTTTGTTATAAGCATTTCCCCTCCTTGTTAAACAGAGGAATATTTTCTGACTTCCATATCTTTGTTCTTTATATGAAATAATGATAATAAACATACACACACACAAACTTTATGTATTAAATTGTACGTAGATTAGTTAGAATTTTTGTTATTGTTACTTTGTTTGATTTGAGAAAGTATGTCACTGTGTGAGCCAGGATGGCCCCAAACTCATGATCCTCCTGGGCTCACAGGTGTGCACCATGTTACCAGCATAGAGCCATTCTTGGTATTGGGTAGTCGTTTAGCAAATGTTTATCAGTATCCCTTACAGAGCAGACACTTAGCAAAGGCACTGTCCCAGACACTAGCCAGCTCTTGGCCCAAGGAGGGCTTTCTGTGCTGTGGAGTTATCTTTGATGAATAATACTTAATAATGCTTGTACTAAAAATTTTATTTCCAGTCAACAGTTCCCAGTTTTTCTTCTTTTAAAAGAATATTTTGATTATTAGTATTGATCTTAACCACTCTATTTCTAAGCACTTCCTATCCCAGTTCACTAGTAGGTATTAATATTATTAACAACAGTGTATTATTCACAGAACTCTTAACATGTCAGAATTGGTAGATTGCCTTGGGAACCTCTTCCAGGGAATGAGTGGGTAGTGGCAAGCATGTGCTCTCTGGGTAGCAGTGCTGCCCTGCAGTCTTAAGACATGTTCTTAGCATATTGTAGGGTGTATCTGGGGTGACTCATGGGGTAAATGAGGCAGGTTTTATCTTGTTAGGAACTGCTGAGTTCCCTAAGGTTGGAGGACTGCCTAAACTGATTATCACTCTTCCCTTTGGCCTCCCAGTGGCCTGATGCCATCATTGGTCCACAACCTGCCTCCTGTTCATTCTAGATCCATAACTTTAAGACCATAACGATGCCAGTGATGTCTCATTCATGGCTGTAGTCTCACCCTCTTGAACAATAAGATTGGTTACAACATGCCTGTATACCATCCCCTCCTGGTGGCAAAGGTGAAGCTTTCCAAATACAGCCTGTGCAAAACTAACTCCTTCCTCCTTCTGTTCCTCTTGCACTACAGCCCACTCTGCCTGGACCTCCCCATTCCAAGAGACACGTGTTAGTCATTTGAGCTTTACAGCCTTACATGATCCCATTCTACTATTGCCCCTGCCCACCTTCCTGTCCTGGCTGCTTCACTCTCATTTCCTGCTGGATTTACTAGTTGAAGTCCAGAGCTAGTCCTGGTGGTGGCTGTATAACACAGGTCTCTGCTGTTTCTTTCTTTTTGAAGTCCAGACCCAGTTGGGAGCCTTACCCACTCTGTCCCATAGAGCTGCTATGAGTTTGCATTCTGGCCTGCATTTTCCGGTTACATTATGTATATTTTGTTTCATCAAAAGCACTTCCTTTTCATTAAGTGACATTCTGGGCTGTCAGCTAGATAATCACTGGGCCTGTTCATCCTTCAGTGGCTTGTCTGAGCTCTGTCTTGTCACTACATATTAATGGGTCATGTGGTACCCTGGGTAACATGGTTATAGGAATGAGCTTCTACTGTGGGGTGATATAAGTGAAAAATTGTTTGCAGAGATTTCAGTAATAAGTCAAACACTATTAGGGCTTGGCCTGTGTATAGGAAGTGCTCAGAACCCCCAGGTGTAAAAGGGTTGAATCAAGAGCTGTCTTAAGTACTTCAAGCCTAATTATGGTATTAACCATCAAAGAAAGCATTCAAATGTGTTCTGAACCTCTGAGTCTTTCTGCTCTGCTTAGAGGCCACTGTCTTTTACATTTAGAGCTTAGAATTCATATTTCTTTAAGAAAACAGTGTGGGCTGTGTGGTATATACTAAGAGGAATTACTGCGTGCTGTCGTGCTGTCCTGGGTGGTCTTCTGCCTCTGTGAGAGGGGACATTGTTTTCTAGCCAATTCTGACACTAGACATAGAGCTTTTTCCTTAGACAGGAATAGCTGGTCCTTGACAGATCTAGGTTCTAACCAGATCTTAGCGTATCAGAGGACTGACTGCAAGGCTTGCCTATGTTTGTTAAGTAACAGTTAAAAGATATCTGTAGTATTGATCTAATTTGTCAAAGTTTTTCTTTATATTTTTGTCTTAAAATTGAGGTTATGTTTTAGGGAAAAATTAGGTATACAGCAAAAGGATTTTTAAAAAGCCTTTAAAGAGTCTGGCAGACTTCAGAGGTCAACAAGTAAAGGGTATTACGATCTGTTTCATATTAAGATAATTTAAACGGGTTAATTTAACAGTGATAATAATGTTAGTATAGTTTGTGAATTTATAAACACAAATTTCAGCCTACACTATTGTTTGACCTGAAAATACTGTTTTAGAAATGCAGGCTGGTACAGAACCTGCCAGGCATTTCTACTGGCCTTGAATTCCAGAGTGTGAGGTTTAGATTAGCACTGATCCAAACGGCCTTGATTGGATGAGGACACCTGGCCCATGCCAGATACACTGTTAGACAGTTGTCACAGGGCTACAGAACAATTGGACTGATGCTAAAGATGCCTTTTGCTGTTATTGGACGTTTATAAGCCTTACAGTTCAGTGTCCTGTGTGGGGTTGTACTTTTGAAGAAATTAAGAGGTACCCCCTACCCCCGACTAATGCTTATGGAGAGGGGAAGGTGGAAGTGGGGTAAAATATTTTAAAGGAACAAAACATTTCAAAGTAAGAAATACACGATATACTAAACAATAAAAATAAATGTCTTAGTTATAAAAGCACTAGTTAATTGGTCTTTTTAAAAAATAAAGTAACCTATGAATTGAATACACTGAAAAGACCCCCGGATGACCTCCTCACCAACTAGGAGAATGTGGAGCCATACTTTTAAAAAAAAGTCTTGCCAGGTTTATGGTCCTGCAGTTGTACTTCCGAGTTTTATAGTTGAACTAGTTAGCTCAGCTAGTGAGCAGGGTTTCCAGCTGAACAACAGCAAGAGCTTACTTCTGGAGAAGAGGAAGTGAAGCTTTGAGTTTGCCCTTAAATTGCTTTCTCTGAGCATTTGCAGGTTCTTGTGCTGTTGGGTTTTGATGCTCTTGTGGGGTGCTGCTTCTGGTTTGTCCCAGTGAGCCATGCTCTTTTATTTTGACATTGTCTGTGACTCCTCGTCTGGGATGCACACAGTTGGCTGTAGTACCCTCACTGTAGTCCTCAGGGAAGACTTTGGTTCCTAGTTTCCTTTGTTCTTCATCAACAGTGTCTATGCTTGCTATAAAATCCACCCCCTAAATCCCAGCCTCTGTTTGGACTTGCATCTACCTTCTTTTTGAGAAGACAATTTTTCTCAGCTGTTTTATTATTTACTGACATGAATAACCCAACAATAAACAGGTCGATTCTTTTCTACTAGATATAGTAGGGGGTTTTAATTCTTTATTTTATGTGTATGAGTATTTTGCCTGCATATATATTTGTGGCTCTTGGAAGCCAGAAGGGGCATCAGATCCCCTGAGAATGTAGTTACAGATGATTGCCAGCTTGCTGGGAATCAAACCCTCTAGAAGAGTAGCCAGGGCTCTTAGTGGCTGACACATCTCTCCAGCCCTAGATATGATGCTTTATTCCATTGAAAATAAGGGATATTTATTAGATTATTAGATTACGGGGGGCGGGGGGGGGGAGATCTGTTTCTTTTTTTATTTGTTTGTTTGTTTTTCGAGGCATGGTTTCTCTGTGTAGCCCTGGCTGTCTTTGAACTCTGTAGACCAGACTGGCCTCCAACTCACAGAGATCTGCCTGCCTCTGCCTCTGCCTCCCGTGTGCTAGGATTAAGAATGTGAGCCACCACTGCCCAGCTGTGTTGTTTTGTTTTGTTTTTTAAAAGCATACACGTACAATCTAAATCTAGATGATTAAATGGTTTTTCTATAAACAATGTATAGGAAAACTGGTGATTTTATAGAAATTGAAGTACATCTCACAGGAATCTTATATGAAGTGTTTCTGAAGTGGCTAGAGATCAGCAGAATAATTTGGGGATTCTTTTAAATTGTGGAGAATTTGTATCAGTCCTCTTAGTGATGTGTCGTGGTGCTGCTGTAGCCGTTACTGTAGCACAGATCTGTGTAGCCGTTTCCGTGTTGCCACTGCTTGTGATAACTGACATAGCTGTGTAGATCAGGTTGGAAAAACTGGAGTCTCTGTCCCACCTTAGAGCTTGTGATGTGTAGAGAAATATGGTCAGGAGGGTCACGGAGCCACAAGAAACAGGGAGCAGCATGTCACAGGCATTTGAAGGTAACTGTTAGTGTGAGAGTGCGAAGGGAAGGTGCTGCATCTTCTGTTGTTTCAGAAAGGTAGGGCTTGAATGACCAAAAGTGGAGAAGTGTCAGATGATGGATTGAGACCAGCATGAGCACTTTTAAACTAGCTGTCGGCCTGAAGCAGAATGTTCTGTATTGGGGAGTCAGCAGTGGTCCCCCATATGCATGTATACACAGAAATGAGCCAGAATGAGTTTATTCCAAACTCAGTTTCCGACTCTTAACTGCAAGTCTGAGGTCATGTCTGCTAGGAAGGGACTCCCAGAGTCCAGGTTGATATGTGGAGGGTGAGGAATTGCTAGAGGAGGAGCCCTAGTCTTTCACCCCACTCCCCAAGAAAAAATGGACTGGGTTCAGGACAGGCAGTCCTGTGCTGCTGTATGATCTACCCACATCCCATGAGAAAGGAATTTCTTACCATTTGGGGTGGTTGTGGTATTCTGTAGTTCTTAAAGTGGAGCCCATTGGGGATTTGTAGGAGGTAGCTAACACTATAAAGAAAAAGTTGTACTTGATTAATGCATGAGTGGATGAAATAATTTGTTTCTTTGAGTCATGATTAATGGAAGAATAACACTGGGACTGTGGAGACAAAACTTTTAGGTAACTTACTTTGATATGATAAGAGTTAATTAATACACGAGCTTTACCATCTTCCAACAGTGATTTAGCCTGGTGTTTTCTACTTGACTTTCTGTGTCTGTGTGTGGGTGTGTGTTTGTGTCTGCTTGTTTCAGGATGTGCTTTTTATGTGTGCTGGTGAGTTTCACTGGTGAAGGTTCAACTCGGTGTGTTGTTAGTTGCAGGATGAGGAGCGCAGGCGCCAGCAGCAGTTGGAAGAGATGCGCAAACGAGAAGCAGAAGACCGAGGAAGACAAGAGGAAGACCGGCGCCATCAGGAGGAGGAGCGAGTCAAGAGAGACGCTGAAGAAAAGGTTATGGTCCTCTAAAGGCAGCTAGTTTTACCAGATTAGCCTGAACACAATGATTGGCTAGGCAAAGGGGGCTGGAAATTATGTGTGTCTAGGATGCATGAGACAGAACAGGGACGGATCTTCCAGCTTTTGCTATTGGACCAAAAACTCTAGCCCCGTCTGGCCTGCCTACCTCTCTTCTGGACTGTCTTCAGGCTCCTTTGCCTTCTGAGCTGGTCTCCCTCAAACTCTTGAGCACCATGCCCCAGAGCAAGGGGTCTGGGGCAAGATAGTGCTCTGGTCTTCCCAGACAGGGTCCAGGCGGCTTTTATGAAGGTGTTGCTTGTTCAGTTATTGTGAGAACTTAGTGTGAGCTCTGGGAGACAATAGGAACATAGCAAGGCAGTCAGTTCTCATTAACCATTCAAACAGGTTAGTCACGAAAACTACTTAATTCTGGTTGATGGTAAAGAGTAGATGGCTTGTAAAACACATACAAGGGAAATTTAGTATGCAACCCAACAAATATTCTGGTTATTTCTATATGTGGGTTTTAACTTAAATAGCTTCCATAGTTGAATTTTAAAATCATAGCAATTTTGACATTCTTCAAAGCAGGAACTTTAAGATGTAATTCTCAGATCTTTCTGTGTCTGAGGCTGAGGCTCACTTGGGTGAGGAGGCTGCTACCTTGAGCCCAGGTTGGCTCTGCCCTGTCCCTGGGGATTGCATGTTGCTGTGTGGTTTAAGAGAAGCTATTTTTCTCAGTTATTTACCTTCTGTGAAGGTAGAAGCTCTGAGTGTCACTACTTCTGATGGATAAAAGTTTAGTTTTTATTAATAGTTACTTCCTTGATAGTCTCAGTGAACTATGTAAATAGGAACACCCCCTCCCCCAAAAAAGCTAAAAATCATAGAATTTTAAGGAAGCTCTGAATTTTTAATGAAGTGATGAATTGGTCAAAAGACAATCTAAGAGTATGATTGATAGGCAGGATGTGGCTCATTCAAAGGGAAATAGACAAAGGGAAATAGAGCGGATGATGTGAGGCCACACACAGGCTTGCATCTAACGCAGTGACTGGTGTCCTACTGGGACCCGCTACTGCAGCCCGTTCTGAAAGACTGAGTGTGGAGGGCAGGCTTACCCTGGGTCTTCCGCTTGTGTTAGTTGAAAGTGATGACCCCTGAAGGAAATCAGGAAGTGTCCACACTGGAGCCAAGTTTCCTGGTTATGGTGGTGGTCTCGCTGCTTTGCTGTTTATTCCCTGAGAGTGCTCAGGCTGCAGGGAGGGGTGCTTTCCCAGCTCAGGGCTGGCCAGCTGCCTCATTGTAATTATAACAGCCAGGGCCTTGTGGAGCCTGGATGAAGCAGCTTGATCGTTTGCATCAGAGCTGTGTGCTCAGAGAGAAACAGGCTGTGCTTTCTGTGTTGAGAAACTGTAGGTTATTTAATTTTTCCAACATGTGTTCTCATAACTCATAATTATGTCAAATATACTTGTGTTTTAGTAACTGTTTCTATAATTGAGTAGTCACTGTAAAAAGAAACTGAAATACTATTTTTACTACAGAATGTCCACAATTGATGGGTTTGATTTGTTATGGAACATGTGTATTTGTTTTCTGGATAAAGTCACCGTGGTCATTTAATTGTATCTGCTCTTGGTATAACCAAAGAGGTTGTTTGGCCTCTCCGTACAGTGTTACCAAACAATTGTTCTTCATGTAATTTTAACGTTCTCCACAGTGCCACTTAAAAGCCACAGAAGTCATTGTAGCTTAATTACCCACCCTAAGATAGTACTGTTTTTGTATAGTCAAGAAGATAAAAATATCTTTCCTTTAGGATTTTACAACATAGAACAAGAAATGAAGCTGGAAATTGGGGCAGGGTAATGAGTGGGACTGGCCTTTAGTCTCCCTTTTCTTCCCAGACTGTGAAGCAGGGAGCATTGTTGTTCACTGTGTGTGCTTGTGTGTAGCTCTAGAGGGACCAGGTGAGAACGCAGCACAGTGAGGACAGAAAACATGACACCAGCCAGGTCCCTGATGTCAGTTTTCTGTGTGGATGATTTCAGCCTGGCTGCACTTGTTTCCTAGCATTGAACATTTGCTGAAGTCAAGGCAGATTATGTTGTTTGCTCTTTCATCCCTTTTCATATTTACTTTCTTCTTGTGCTCTAAAACTCTGTCAATCCTTAACAAAACTGTGTTGTTGCCTTTTTAAATGTTAAAAGAATTTCAATACTGTCAACTGTAGTTTGCCTGAATGAAAATGTATAGTGTGTGTCAGAATATATCTGCTATTACTATTAATGCGTGGCTCTCATTTTCTGTTCTTCAGAGAGTTTATTAAGATTTGAAACATACATTTACTGTGGAAAGCATACTTGTTAGATTGTGGCTTTGGGAAAATGAATGATATTTCTTAATGTTTATGGTTTCCTATTGAAACACAGAAGAAACAGGTAAGTTAATATCCTGTCCAAATAGAAAAGGAGAGAAAAAGTTCAAGGAAAAGAGGAAGAAAAAAATGTAAATGATCCAGACTCTAATTGTGTAACTGAAAGGTCCTAAGATTTGACTAGTCCCATGCTTCTGAACAGTTTGTGTTAGTGTGGAACAGTATGTGTGTACTCATAAAGCTTGGGACGAGAAGAGATGAGTTGGCCTGCTTCTTCCGTGACAATTATGACATTGGCATCTGATGTCCTGTGGACATGCCAGTGCAGTGATGGGCAGTGATGATCAGTGTACCTGTCATTCCCTGTGGAGGCACAGAGTGTCCACTGATCCCCCTCTGACCCTTGACCTTTTGCACTCTTGTCTCTTCCCGCCTGCAGAGGCGCCAGGAAGAAGGGTATTACAGCCGCCTAGAAGCCGAGAGGCGCAGACAGCACGACGAGGCAGCACGCAGGGTGCTGGAGCCCGAAGAGCCTGGGCTGAGCCGACCTCCGCTTCCACGGGACTATGAGCCCCCATCCCCGTCCCCAGCACCCAGCGCCCCTCCTCCCCCACCGCAACGGAACGCCTCCTACCTCAAAACACAGGTCCTCTCCCCAGACTCGCTGTTCACTGCCAAGTTTGTTGCGTATGATGATGATGAGGAGGAGGACTGCGGCCCAGCAGGTCAGGATAAGTACCCCAGCACAAGGAAGTCTCACGGGCACCTTCCTCTTGCTGCCCTTAAGCCGCAGCAGCCCCCCTGCCAGCCACGCCCAGCCTCGGATGGCATCTTTCTCTCCAACTCATTCCAGCCACCCTTGGCCAAAGCCAACAGTACTGCTATCAGAGCAGGCCAGCCCCCACCCCCTCCAGGCAAACCGAATTTCTTCCGTCCTGGCCACTGGAAAGGTAGAGGTAAAGGAGGGAATGGCGAATCAGACCTCTCTTGTCTTGATGATTGACCTGGGATCTCTGTACCCTGCCCCTTGGTACGGTACAGTGAGACCATGCCTGTCTTGGCCTTGGGATTACCTGATCACTCTCAGCATGTGATCTCCCTCCGCCCCTGATTGTGGTGTTTGTGCTAATGCTCTGTTAATTTAGCCTTGGTACTCCAGTTTCTCTTACACTTTAATCATTCCGTCTCTTGAATCCACTGACAGCAGTCAGTCCTCCACCATTACCAAATTATTTCAAGTACTGTTGGTCTTGGCCTTTTTGTGTGTGTATCTCTTTAAGTAATTCTTACCTTTGGTCAATAAGTGCCTTCCCAAACGTACTAGTGTCTCTAAAGACAGAGTGCCAGAGTATCAGCTGCACTTTAAGTTGACATCATTTAATGTGAATAGAACATTTGGTTTTGTTCCTGAGGCCTATGCAGTGACTCATACATTTGTGGAAGCTTGGTTGCGTGTTGCGACATCCACTGGACTAGTCACCAGTACAGCTTTACTCCTAACATAGGCAGCCCTTGCCCACAGACCCGAGTCTTGAAGTTTTTCCTGTCTCTCTTACTTGTTCCATTCTCTTTCATTATCTTGCTCTCTTGTACATCATAGCACCAGCACCCAAGCCTTTGTAGGCTTGCAGCTTCTGAGTTGGGAAGGGGGCTTTTAATGACAGCACAGAGGCCATTGCCCACAGAGTTGTAGTAAGCATTGCATTTATGCTGAAGTTACAACTCAAGTATATTCAAATTGAGACTTCAGACTACCTTGGCCGTAAAGGAAATGGAATTCTGACGTCATGCTTGATGTCAGTATTGTTACTTAGATGAGTGTGAGTGGATTCAAAATTGTGTGTGATTTTTACACAGACTTGTACACTCAGCACTTCTGAGAGAAGCCAAGCTCTCTTAAGAGTCAGTGGAGGGAGGTTTGCCACAGTTCTGTCTTTTTTCCCCACCTGTATCAGACTTGTAATCTGTTCTGGAGAATTGGTATGTAGTAGTATCATTAAGTCACGCTGAAAGCCAAAAATCTAATCCTTTTATAAAATTTCTGTCATAAATGTTGAGAATTCCGTGCTCTTTCAAGGCATTTATGGAATAGCAATAAATTTGGAAGCAAAATGCTATTAATCTTATATCAAATTTTATGAATGTTGGACGGATTTGATCGTCTCAACATAGTTAGGAATCATACCTGTCCGTTTTGGCCATCAGATGCACTGCTAACCCTTGCTTCATCTCACACCTAATGAACCACCCGGGAGCAGGCCACGGCCTCTTTGGACCTGTCTGCAGGGCATGCATCAGCGCTCTGGCCTTGCCGTCTCCATCTCTTTCATGTGCTTTGTCTAGCCCTTCCCTGGTGAAGCATGCCTCTGCAGGTGGGAACGTGGCCTCTTCCAGGGGTCACATGAGATACAGAGCTTGTGGAATTGAAATGATCAAGACTGAAATTCAGTGGCAATATATCTTTGAATGATGTTTTTGTTTTACTAGAGCTCTTTGGAAATTACTTATGATTGGCAATTTTATACATATAGCCAGCTCACAATTTTAACATATCAAACTCTAAACACTCTGGAAGATTTGAAGAACTGATTTTTGCTCATGGAAGAAGCCAGTGTCACTCTCAGCAAAGCACAGAAATACAAAGCAGTGTTGTTAATAACAGACAAAAATGAATATAAAGTTGGGAATTGAAACCAACTATGCAAGTTCGAGGCCAGCCTGGGCTACCAAGTGAGTCCCAGGAAAGGCGCAAAGCTACACAGAGAAACCCTGTCTCGAAAAAACCAAAAAAAAAAAAAAAGAATCCACTGTGGATTGCCAGGAAGTAGAGATATGTTTTCTGCTCTTTTTTCTTTTTCTTCCTTTCTTTCTTTTTCTTTTTCTTTTTTTTTTTTTTTTTTTGAGTGTTTACTGAAGATGACCTGCTCTGTGGTGACTTGGGAGGCCTAAACTTGGGGTGTTTTGAGGTTGCAGTTTGAAGGCTGCTGGGCTCTGTCTAGATAAGTCCAAAATACTCTACCCACAGGCTCTTCATATGGAAGATCCATTCTCCTGTCTCATGTCTAAAGTGGACTGTTTTCATTTAGAAACATGGTGATCATTTTGTGATCTGTTTAATCCAGTCTTGTTCATGTTTGCCAAATATTCTGAGCCTTTTGTACTCTATTTTGTTAGAAGCTGATTTCTCAAATGGGAATCTGTTTTTATTTTATGAGTGTTCTGTCTGCATGAGTGTCTGAGTCACCAGGAAATTGAGATGGTTGTAAGCCTCTACATGGGTGCTTGGAATCCAACCCTGATCTTCTGAACTGTTACTTTATTTTGTAATGTTTCAGTACATACTGTAAATATTATTTACTACAGCATTATATAATTTGATACATGGTAAACCTTTATCTGTATCATCTCTTTATGCCTCTTGAAGTCTTGGCAAATGTTGGCTAACTGGTGGGCATCAAGCTCAGTTGTGGTTTCTTGGCCAAGACAGACATGATGTGCATAAGGCCAACCTTATCTGCCCTCACATTTGTTTTCAATTTTTCAGCACTAATTTGGAATGCTAGGAATCTAGTTTGGTTTGGGTAGCTCATTTGTTTCAAAGGCTTGATTTTGCTTTTAATAATTACATCTATCTTGAAAAAGAAATCTAGTAGTGAATACTGAACAGAGGAACTTTAATCATAGACATAGGTTTAAATCTTTAATAGGGGTTACATTTGTCCTCAGTGACTGTGGCTGCAGAGATGGCTTGGGTTAAGAGCACTGAAGTCCCGAGTTTAATTCCCAGCAACCACATGGTGGCTCACAACCATCTGTAGTAGGATCTGATGCCCTCTTCTGGCATTCAGGTATACATGCAGAGCACTCAGACATAAAATATAAGTAAATAAATTTTTTAAAAAATTTTAAAAAGTAGACAAAAGCAAAACTCCTACAGTGTGTTGGAGTATGTCTAAAATATTTTGCTTACTCCCCACTTAAGTCTCCTGTGGGTTTGTCTTCTGTATTTGTGATCATTGTGCCATGTGCTGACTTGAGGTGTTTTTTAAAGACTGTTTCAGTTTGTCCATTCTGAGAACAAAAGGCCTGATGTCAGTTATTGGACGGATGAATTTTACACTGGTGAATCTTTGTGCATGTGAAGAGCCTTTGATTTCTCATTTTCTCAATAATTAAAGGAGCCTTGTTTTCCTGCAGAGACACTGTCATGAGTAAAGTTTTAGAGATAATTAAATACTTTAACTTGGGCTTTCTTTTTTTCTTTCATGGAAAAGGACCACACTCTTACACGGGATCTGCTGGGACAGCTGTGGGAGCCCATGATGCTCCTTGGGACCCAAGAGAGAAGCACACTAGAAGGTACTAGGGCTGGGCCGAGCTGGGTCTAGTCTGTGCTGGTCTATTCTCATTTTCCTGCCCTTGCTGAATTGTGTCAGACTTCATCAGGCATCTGGGTGTTTTTACTGTACAAAATCATGTGAGAATGTAAGGGGGGCGTTATTTCCCTAAGACAGAGTCTGTCTCTGTAGGTCTAGAACTTAACTGTGTAGCCACACTGGCCTCAAACTTGTGGTAGTCCCTGTGCCTCGGTCTCCCTAGTACTGTGATTACAGGTGTGAGTCACCACACCTGTACATGTATTTTGTTGGTTTTTTTTTTTTTTTTACTTTTTTGGGGGTAGGGGGCACCACCCAGCTCCCTAATAAATTCACACACACAGACGGAGACTTATTATTGCTGATGAATGCCGAGCCTTAGCTTGGATTATTTCTAGCCAGCTTTTCTTAACTTACATTGTCCCATCTACCTTTGGCCTCTGGGCTTTTCCCCACTCTCTTACTTCTGTAAATCTCACTCTTACTCTGGCTGGCCGTGTAGCTGGGGGGCTGGCCCTGGAGTCCTCCTCCTTCTCTGGCTCCTCCTTGATCTCTCCTCCCAGATTTCTCCTCCTTCTATATATTCTGTCTGCCTGCCAGCCCTGCCTAGCCCTTCTCCTGCCTCACTATTGGCCGTTCTGTTCTTTATTAGGCCATCAAGTGTTTTAGAACACAGCTTCACAGAGTTGAACAAATGCAACATAAGCTAAAGTAACACGCCTTAAAGTCATACTCACTCCACATGTAGGCTTTTTTAAAGTTGATGTTGCTGACATGGCTCCTGTTTGAGGTAGTGACACTGGGCCTGCCTACTGTGAGACTGGAATGCTAGAGGCGTGAAGGCCTGGCCTGTCAGTGCAGCCTTGTGAGCACAGGCTGATCCCTTCTGGGATTGTTGTCTGCCCTCGTAACAGTGCTGATCTGTCTTTTACTATTAGACTGGGGTGTCTGTTAATGCCTTTCAAGTATTCGGAAGGTTTGTGGAAATGCTATGTTTTTAAACTGTACCCTCATTAATTAAACTTGTTTAGCTGGCAAGAAGTGCTTGCTTGCTGAAATTGAACTCGTTGAGTTTGCTGTTTGCCTTTTCCATTTTTAGTAGGGATGGTGGCCCAGGCATACAGACACATCTGTGTGTGCACATGTGTGTATGTATGTGGGTGCTGGTGGAGGCCTGAGGTTGAAAGAGGTCATCGGTTAGTCATTCTTCCACCTTCTCACTGGGTCAGGGTATCTCATCAACATGCTCGTCTTGCTAGCCAGCCTGCTCTGGAATCCTCTCTCTTCCTTCTGAAGCTATGATTGCAGGCTGGCTGCCATGTATTCCTAGTATGTATATAATCTCTGGTTAAGCTCTGAGCCTTCTCTAGTCCCCTTACTCATTTTTGAAAGTTACTGTGTTAAGATAATATTTTGCCCCTTTTCTACATGGGTGTATTTATTTATTGCTGTTTGGGGAATTTTTTTTAAAGTTGAAATCTTAACGGTTTGGCCCAGGTTGATGATAAAGCCTGTGCCACTGTCCCTGCCCTCTCTGTTCGTTTAGATCTAATTACATGGGCACATATCAGCCTTGAAAGTTCTGGTCAGACCGTAGCTGGTGTGGTCTGTCCCTGCCCCAGCACACAGGACGCAGTGAAGTGCAACAACAGACAAGTGTCCCTGAAACCCTGGGGTCCTCTGAAAACTCACTAAAAGCCTAGGTACTCGTATTGTGATGCATAATCTTTTGTGTTTTCCTCTTGTGCAGCCAAGATGCAGACTTACCTGGCAGTTCTGGAGCCCCTGAAAACCTGACATTTAAAGAGCGTCAGCGCCTGTTTTCACAAGGTCAAGATGTGTCTGACAAAGTAAAAGCGTCTCGTAAATTAACAGAACTGGAGAATGAACTGAACACCAAGTGAGAGGACAGAAGGGCACTGTGCTCACACGAGTCTGCCCTGGGCAGTGGTTTATGGGGTGAGCCTGAGGAGGAGGGGAAAGTTCTGTGTCTAAGTGATTTCTCATTTCTGTTTCTAAAATGGTTGCAAGTTAGAGATGTTCCAGTTCTAAGAAATCTTGTTTTACTTTACCAAGAAAATCCTGCCTAGTTCTCATTGATTTGACTCACATGAAGTTATCTTTTTTTGTTAGCTTCTTTGGGGAGTCTTGGGCTCACAGGGCAGAGTGAAGGGCAGTAAAGATCACAGGGTATTTCCTCTACCCTCTCTTCCCATCATCATTCCAAGGACAGTAGGCCAAGAAATGATCTTTCTGTTCTTTCTCAAAACTCCACTTGGCTACCAGACAGTGACAGCTGAAGAACACAGGCCATTGCTGTGTCCTAGTGGAGCCTGTGTTCAGGAGACACAGGACCTGGAGCTGCCTCCTCCCTAGCCCCAGGGCAGATGTCCCCACTGTCCCTTCTGTAATGTGCATTCAGTGGCTAGATGGAGTTTCTCATGTAAGGTGCACAGCACATCAGTCTTGACAGATGTGAGCCTCCTGATCAATACTAAATGTTGGAGATTGAGTATCTAATTAATAATTCAATTTTGAAAATTCTCAAAATTTTAAAGATTTAATCTTAGGGGATGTTATTTTCATAAATACCAAATCATCATTAGACTAATCAATGGTGAAAATTAAAGATGATGGTTATGTTAGGAAGTTACCTAGTATTTCAGATATTCCAAAGGATCTAGAGTTCTCTAGCTAAACAGCGTTCGTGTAGTAGGAGCAAAGACATCTGAGGAGAGTGGGAGCTCACAGGTGGCCGTCAATCACGGCTGTCAGAAATTTAAATTCAGGAGAGGAGGATGTGTGTGGGTTCACTGTCAGAAAGGGAGGAGTCGGTTCCTGTGCCATCCGAATTGAAATACTGTAAGCATAACCTGTGGTGGTTGACTCTGCGTTTCTTTCACAGCATAATGGAGTTTAATTTTAAGTTGTGGATTGTGCTGCCCTTCCTCCAGCTGAGTGTGAGAGACAAAGATCAGTTGTTCATTTTTGTGTGAAAGCAAGCTTTATGATTTCAAGCACACTTCCTGTTTGACAAAGCCCTAATGTGGGTCCAGACGATCTTTCTGTACCATCCTGTCCTCTTACAGATCTGTACATTAGGAAAATAGGCACACTTTCAAATAGAACAGAGGCATTTGCAGCCCTAAAAACCACTTTTAATAAGAACTGTATGATAAATTGTTGAAATACAAGTGTAAATAGTTTTTATGTCTATCAAGCTTCCTATTTGAAATTGTGCCTTTGCTGTTTCCTCTGTAAGAGAATCGAATGGTCCTGAGAGTTAGTGAAGGATTTGCACACTTGCCTTGCCTAGGAAGTGCAATCTCCTTGTGTCTGGAGCACACTGGCAGCCTTTGGGTGGCACAGCCACACCTCCCAGAGAAGAGCAGACACCTGCTGTGGCTTGTACCTGGGAAGACAGATGCACACACGAACCTGCAAACATCCGAAAAAGCTGCACGTGTGTCTGTGAACTCAGTGAAATAGCCTTGGCCATCCCTGGACAGTGAGGTCCAATGTGAACATGTGTTGTAAGAGCACGTTACAGACGTGTGTTACTGTGGGGAAACACCCAAACTGCTGTTGTTTCCACTTCTACTGTATTTCAGTTGCAGCCTATTTTTAATAAACTTTGTATCTATTTAAGTGTACTTGCTATTGTTTTCAAAGTGCTGACAAAGTTTATATTTGTAAGGCCAGCCTTCCTCTCCCCCATTTCCATCTGTCACTACTTCATTAAACAATGCTGAGTGTCACTCCTGCGTCCCTCAGTTGTTTTTCTGTCTGTGGGTAAGTGCTGTTTGATTGATGACACAGCCAGCTAAAGACTGGGTGACGTTTCCACAAGAGTCCCGTGTGAGAGCTTGGTCACCGACGTTGTTTTCGTCGTCGTCTTGGTGACTGGTGCTTGTGCATTCAGCAATCCCAAATGGCCACTGGGACCATGTCTCATTTCACTTTCCCATCTTGGTCACGGGACTCGCTGAACATGCTCAGTGATTAAGCACATTGCAGAAAAGGTATCCTGGTAATAAAGTGATTTCAGATGTATTTATTCATGTATAATAAGATTATGCAAAATGTAGGTTGGTTGACTGGGCAGTAGGAATTTTACACCCCCAGTGATAGGTGATTTATTCCTGTAGTATCTCCCCCGGTTGCTCACAGAACAGGAGTACAAGTGCCGGTCTTGAGATTGCCTTAACTTGTCAAGCAGTATACAGGCGATGCTGACCCTGCTCACCCTGCATTCCCAGGCAGCCTGCGTGCATGCACCGGTGGGTCGGGGGTGAGAACACAGAAGCAGGCCACTGGTGTGTAATTAACACGAACACAGGACCTGTGGGGGCTGACATTGTAGGTGTGGTAGGCTCTCTTGGGAAAGAAAGCCTCTCATCGGGGAGGGAGGCTCAGGAGGCAGGACCCGAGAGGACTGGGAAGAGGTGAGGTAGGTTTTCAAGACTATGGTACAGTGATTTATATTCTACAAGCACGGGGATCCTGCTGTTCCTGAAAAGGCATGAGCAACGCCGATGTTCTATGAGCCGGTAAGCCGCGCCCAGGAGAAACTTCTGCGGGTAGGCACAGCGCATGCGCGTGAGCAAGCAGTCAGGGAAAGATAGTCCGTGACGTAGCCACGCCCTTCACTCGCTGCCTGGAAAATGCCGGGTCACCGCAAGCTGTGGGGCTTCTCAGAACGGGGGTTGCGACTTCGGCATCAAATGCGGGTGAGTGTGAGGGGAGCCCAGGGTTTGAAACCACGCCTCCCAGGCCTGTGGGGAACGTGGGAGGACTGGGGTTGGCTTGGGAATCGGGGAGCTGTGAATCTCACCTGAGCTCTCTCAGGAAGGAGACCGACTCCATCTGCCTGGTTTTCAGCATCCAGGATCTAAGGATGATTGACCTGTTTTGTCCCAACTGCCCTTAAGGCTCCTTCCTTCAGCTCCCACTTGAGGTATCCCCGACCGCTCACCGGTCCCTTCAGCCCACCTCGGGGGTCTCCTAACCGGGCACCTTCCTCAGCTCTGCTGAAATCTTTGTGCTGAGCAAGCTTGGGGACTACAATGGTTAACCAACAGTAATGATAGAATCCTAACCGTTGCCCTCTTAGAGCACACAGCAGAACCAAGAGATTGATAAAGTAAATAAAAATATAAATACCATACCCAGCAGGGATCCCGAACCTTACAAGATCTATAATCGACCCCACAAAAGTCAAGAGTACATGGGTGGGCTGTAGGGACCGGAAGTTCCTGTTGCACAGTGGAATCCGAAGTCTTAGAAGACAGAGGTCTCTGTGGAGAGTGATGTGTGACCAGCCAGGCCTTGGTGGTATACTGGAAGCAACATAGAGGCTGAGGGACCAGAAACGTAGGCCGCACAGGCTCTTGACGGACACCTAAAGACGTAGTTCTACCAGTCATGGAGACACTTCAGAAGTGAAGTTATTGGAGGGAAGACATGGTCTGATCTGCACTTTAGAAGTGACAGTTTGCTGCACAGTGATGGCACACGCCTTTAATACCAGCACTTGGGAGGCAGAGGCAGGTGGATTTCTGAGTTCAAGGCCAGCCTGGTCTATAGAACAAGTTCCAGCAGAGCCAGGGCGACACAGAGAAACCCTGTCTGGAAAAACCAAAACCAAAGAAATGTGACCGTTTGTAGCAGGCAGTGGTTCCCGGCCAGAGAGACAGCCGCCTGCATGACTTGCTCCTTGAAGGACAAGGCTTCCAGGGTAGACGACGACGATGGGGGGCTCTGTAGGTGAGTTCCCGGGAAAACTGGTGAGACACAGACAGCATTTCAGATCGTTGCAAGTTTGCCTAAGAGTGCACATTGAAGGAGGAAGCATTTGTCCCAGCAAAAATTGCTGAATTCTTGAGGGCAGCACGTTTCTGTCTGCTTCCAAGCCCCAGCCCAGCTGTGCAGAAGCTTCACCCTGGGGCTGTGTGCCTCAGCACCCAACTCAGGACCACTTTATCTCACTGAGAGGGACACATCTCAGTACTTCTCACCAAATCCAACACTGGCTTGAGGTGAGTTTGAGGGCTCCCGTCACCCAGTCCCACATGAGCAGAGTGGATGTCCCACGCAGGCCAAGAAGTTAGAGATCTAGTTTTTTCCCCCCACCTCAGTTGTGGATCCCAGACTTCATGATAAGCTAAAGGCAGGCTGAAAGCTCAAAGGAGGGCACTTCACTGAGAGCAGAGCTGGCTCAAGACTTGCTCAGGAGATGATCCATGAATGAGGGTAGATTGCAGCTCTCACAGGAGAGACGGGCTTGCAGCAGTGAGTTGCAGGCTCAAGGGCACACCAAGGATGCACATTTCAGTCTTCGCGGGCTGCCTCCAGAACTGTGCAGAGGCTTCTGTGGGCTCGAGGCTGGAAGTCTCGGGCCAGAGATTTGTCCTCAAGTCTGTCCTTGGTTTGCAGGTGGCTGCTTCCCCATGGTGAACTGGGGTCTTCCCTGTGCACCCTTGAAGAGCCTGTGGCTCCGGGGCTGCATTCAGAAGGACACCAATGAAACTGCAAAGGAACCCACCCTCCAAGGCTTCTTTGAATCAATCACCTTGTAGGCACTGTCTTCAAATGTTACCTGCTGAGATACCTACTGGGACTTAATACTTCACCCATGGAGTTGGGGGGTGGGGGTGTAACATAGCAAGCCACAGGTTACGCCATGGCCTAGCAAAGGAGAACCTTCTAGGGTCAGAGCAACCCTGAAAGGTTGTACTCACAGACTTTTTTCTAAGTCCCGTTCTAACTGGACCAGACTTCAGAAATGTTTGTATCCCAGGACCATGGGGAGCCATCCTTCTGGCACTGCTGTACAGCATTGTTCTAGTGGTGTAACTTGAGCGTTTCGGGAGGAAAGTGAAGGAAAAGGCATTGCATCAGAAAGGAAGAAAGGCAGTCCACTGGCAGATGGAACCATATTATAGCTACGATCCTGAAGAATCTGCTAAAACCTTTTACATTAAAAAGTAAGATATAAGACCGAAGACTACAGCATCCATCTACAGAAATAAATGGCATCTCTGTGTTCTAGCAATGAACCCAAGTAAAATTAGGAAAACGTTCCATGTACAGTAACCCCCCCCGCAAATCAGGATATTCTGAAATAAATTTGACCAAACACATACCAGACTTACAACTGCAACTACTATTATAGTTTGAGATCTAGGAATTAAGTAAATTTCATCAAAATATTCCAGAGATTTTTCATAATGAACTGAAGAAATTTTAACAACACTGTATAACTCCTAGGTTTTGGATTTATACAACCAGAGTTTAGAATTACAGATTACAATTACAATTACAGTGATTACAGCTTTTTTTGTGAGCCAATTTAGAGAGTAATTCTCTTAACAGGAGGAACTGCATCCCTATCTGGAGACTAAAGTCCCTGCAAGAGGGACTGAATCTTTAGCAAAAATGACTAGATCCATGAAAGGAAGGACTGAATCTCCTGCAGGAAAGACTGAATCCCTTGCAGGAATGATAGGATCCCTAGAAGGAAGGACTTAATTTATTCTCTGAGGAGACTGGAGCACCAGCAGGGTACTGACCTTTAATTCGAAAGACTATGTTCAGCAGGATGAACCGAGTTTCCAGGAATGATGCGTCCATAGCTGGGACACCGAGTCCCCATAAGATGACTCACCTGGACCAGTCATGCATGGGAGTTAAACATGTACCCATTTCTTTGGCTTATAAAATCCTAGCAGTCTGTGCTCTAGCTTCCTTCCACAGTCCAACATCCATTCCCCACCGTTCCCATCCTCACATAATGCTTTCTCTTCTGACCCTCCAAGACTAACATCGCACACGCACACGCCATATGTGTATGTATATGTATCTCCCCCCCCCCCCAGACAGTGTCTTTATATAGTCCTGGCTGTCCTGGAACTCACTCTGTAGACCAGACTGGCCTTGAGCTCACAGAGATCCGCCTGCCTGTCTCCCAAGTGCTGGCGTTAAAGGCGTGAGCCACCACCGCCTGGCTGTTTTTGTTTTTTGAAGGTGGACTGACTGTATGGCTTCCTTTGTAAACTATCCACTTCCCAGCAGCGCTCTCTGGTACCTTTCTGACCAAAGGATAGAGAATCTGGAGTTTTGCATTCCTAGATAAGTCCATGGGGCTGCTGCTGGTAGTGTCAGGACCTCCTTGGTAGGGAGGGCCCAGAACCATGGGGTGTGGGTGGGACAGCAGGCCAGCCCTTACCGGGGTGGGCTTGTCTTGTCTCTGCAGTAAGTGGAGGAGTCTGAGCAGTCTCACACTTGACCTTCCCTGCCGTTCTTTGCTGAGACTGTTCCTACTCTTTCTTGTTCATTCACAGTTTATCAGTATGACCAAGCAAGTGCTGTGTTGATGGGTTTTCCTTTTGGATCCTTGGTTGTAGGTCAAAGAAGAAAGAATAGCTGAACTGGAAACAGAAAATGCTATTCTGCACCTGAAATTGGCAGAGGTAACATTGTAATGTGTCTTGTAGCCCATAGACCAAGCACAGTGGCTGTTTGGAGTCAGCTGCTGTACTTGGAAAAGACGCACAGGGAGGGAGAGCGACTTTCATCCCCTCTTTTGTCCCATTCAGTGAGGTGGCAGGCACTCTTCAGTTGACACTTAGCATGTCATCCTACACTGGAACAGGGATGAATTCTAAATTATTTATCTTGGTGCTCACAGTATTTAATGAATAATTCATTAATGATACACCCAGCAGCTGTTTCTTAGCGGCTGTTGTTTAATTTATGCATCATGAATTCATCCATATTAAGTTGTACAATTCTGTGTTTAGTAAATCTACAGATACATGTCTGCTGCAATCTTTTTATGTTGCTATAACAAAATACCTGAGATTCTATAATTTACAAAGAGCATTTGTTACTTTCCGTTTTGGAGTCCCAGGATTAAGGCACTGCAGGTTTGATATCTGTGGCCAGCTCATTTCTCTCATTGATACTGTCTAGATGTCCTCATGTGGTTGGAGTGGATGAGCAAATAGCTCTCTAGTCTTGTCCATTTATGAGGGTAGAGTCCTCAGGATTCCATCCCCCACACACACAGTGGACATTGTTTGTCAGCATGAATCTTGGAGGACCCCTGTGCTCTGCAGTAGCTCCTAACCAAGCTGCGGAAGCTTGTTCCTAAGGCCCTTTCTCAGTTTCCCCTAGAGCCTTTTTACTTAGGACCAGTTCCACACTGATCTGGCAGGCAGTCTGACCCAGCCACAGCCCTTCGATCTGTCTACAAGTTGCTGGGCATCCTCAGGGGCAGCCTCCGCCCTCACCCACCCTTTTTGAGGGAGCTTATCTCCTCTCAGGGTCAACCAGGGACTGAGCCAGAAGCTAGAAGTCTGTATTGGGCAGGATCCTCCCATAGGAGCTCAGACACTGTCTCCATCACAGGAGCACATCAGAGACTCTGCTTCCTTTTCTGTCCTAAAAAGTGAGGGTGCATCTGCCTGAGATCTGAGCACTGACCCGTGAGCTCTTCACCTTGACATTGGGTCACAGTATTGTGTGATGTGAGCCCTTGGCTCGCTGTGAACACAAGTGTGGTTCACTGTGAGATGTGTGGCTGGTGTCTCTGAGAGGCTGGGCCTGCCAGCATCCACTGCTTATAAAGACAGTGCAAGGATAGACGCCCCCCCCCAAAAAAAAAAAAAAAAAAAACACCACACAGGAAAGCAACAAAATGAGGCGAACCCCACAGCCATCACCTTGTTCTTTCGAGGCCCGTCTACTGCGCTGTGGAAACCGGTGCAGAACTCCGGCCCACCCTGCCAGCACCTCTGCTGTCCTGCCAATGGCCTTGTCCTGGAGCCTGGATGCTTTCTCTGTCCCCCTTGCATTCCATAGGGAGTACTTCCTGTTACCTCCCCCAGTGCTCCCCCCAAAATCCAGAAAGATCTTTGGAAACTGTGTGCTGAAAAGCCTGGCTGTTGAGAGCCCGCCCCAGGTTTGGCCCTGCCCGAGAGTGAATGCGCAGGTCCCTGGCGGCTGTGCGGGTTTCGCGCCCCCTCCCTGTCATATCTGTCATATGTCTTCTGAGGTCTGTCACTCACAGCCTTGATTTGGGCTCGCTCTGTGCCTTCTGCCTGGCCAGTGCCTTCAGACCTAGCCCGAAGACTCGAACCTAGAACTGTCCATACTTCTAGGATTCCTGCTCTGCCTCGCCCCACTGTAGTGTGAGCTCCACTGGCGGCTCTCTTCCTGTGTATATGTATCACGGACAATCAATAACTTTCTTTCCTTGGGGGGAGGGTACCTGCTGGGTTTTCTCTTCCTGTGTAATATGTATCATGAGCAATCAATAACTCTCTTTCCTTGGGGGGAGGGTACCTGCTGGGTTTTCAAGGTTTTAAAACTTCATTGTATTTTCTCCCTTTCTACACAGTACCAGGAAAGGATGAACAGGAGCAGCCGTGAGGCCTGGCCCTATGCTCTGCTCAGAACGAGGCAGTGTCAGCAGGGAAGCGTTCATGCAGCCTTCCTCCAGCTTGGCTACCTGACTAGGGTAGAAGTGACCTCAGTGTTGCCAAAATCACCATTCACGTGCGGAATGTTGAGCGGTGTGGGGCTTAGGAGAGCCCCTTTGCCTCTTCCCTGTCCTAAGAGGCTCACCCAGGCACTCAGACAGGTTCAGCTTTCCAACGCTCAGTAACAGAAAGCCCAAAGCATTTATTAGCGTCTGAGCAAAAATGAGACATAAGTAGTCTTTGGCCAGTAGACAAATGGCCTGAGATAGCAGCCGTGGAAACTGAGTCTCCTGAGTCACAGCTGTTGTTGTTTTATGTCTGTGGGTGTTTTGCCCGCATGCATGTCTGTGCACCGTATGCATGCAGTTGCCCTCAGGGCAAAAGAGGGCATCCTATCTCCTGAGACTGTAGTTCCAGACAGTTAGGAACTGCCATGGGAGTGCTGGGAATTGACTCCCAAGTGCTCCTTAACTGCTGGGCCATTTCTCCAGCCCTCACAGTGGTTGTTTTTTTTTATAGTTTTTAATGGTAGAAAATACTTGTAATAGCATAGGCACCCCATCCCCCTACATCATATCGAGCAGTCCTTAGGCTGTCAGGGGCTTCTAGAGGAAAGGCCAGGAAAACGGGTATCTCACTTAGTGTGTTTGGCAAGTCTCCAACGTGAGATTGTGGTAGATATTTTTATACCATTGATTAAAAACATTGTTCTACCTTATGTTAAAAACAATGTGACCAGGGTGGGAAACAGGAAAAAAACAAAACAAAAAACCAACTCATTAAAACAATGTAAGCACCATCTGCAAACAGGATTAACATGCCATGAAGGCTTAAACTGTGTTCATTCAGAATAGATTAATGTAGAACTCATTGTAAATTCTCTCCCACCCTAGTAAAATCAGCCTACCTTTGAATAAGCTCCATAACTATCTGTGTTCTATATAATAAAAGTACCTTGATTCAGCTTAGCTTTGCCATTTTTATTAAAATGTTTCTGTGCATGGAGGAATCTCCATTATTTATAACTTAAAAAGACAAAAACCATATGTTTAAGCTCAAGTAACATTCTGATGTGTTATTGAGAGTAAATACTAAACCATGCCACATCCTTTCATCTATTCATTGTCAAATCATCATGCTGAAAGTCCTGGGATAATTGCTGGAGTTGGACAGGGGGAATGTGTGACGCACAGGATATTAGCTGCATTGTTCCCAAAGTTCCCTGAAAACTCTGATGCAGGCTGTTCCTGGAACTCTGTCACGCACATGGGTATGGCGATTTCTTCTTACTGGCCCTGCGCTCATGGTAATGAAGCCTCCAGAAGTTGGTCTGGACAGCCCATCAGAGCTCTGCTCTTGCTTAACACAGCCCGAGTGTGCCACCAAAACCACCAGGACATTAAACGGGTCAGAAGATGTCCATGATTACACAGTGAGCAGCTGTACTACAGAAACTGATCGTATAACCTGGTCTTCTGTTTTCGTAAGAATCTTAATAATGTGGAATATATGAAATCATGAGCTGCTCTCAAAGCACTAACCCCAGAACTATTGAGTTAGAAATTCTGAAGAGGGCTGGGCAGTGGTAACACACACCTTTAATCCCACCCAGCACTTGGGAGGCAGAGGCAGGCATATCCCTGTGAGTTCAAGGCCAGCCTATCCTACAGAATGAGTTCCAGGATAGCCAGGGCTGTTACACAGAGAAACTCAGTCTCAAAAACAAACAAAAACAAACAAACAAACAAACAAAAAAGAACTAATAAAGGGAACCTGGGCTCGTGTGTGGCAAACACTCACCTTGCACGTTTGACGAAGAACCAATGCTTCATATGCCCCTAGTTCACACCAGGTTGCTGCAGGATTGCAGGTGGTGGGTCACTTCCCTGTTCCGTGGGGCTTTTGTGATTGGCTGTACAGTTAGACTGTAGTGGCTGATAATGGCATGATCGGTTGTGCTGTGTTTTCATCACGCAGAAACTTCAACAAGACGTCAAGGAACTGCGGAGTTCTTTTCTGGTGCTCTTACAAAGCCATCAGGACGAGTACCAGAACTGCCTCTCTGACATAATGGCTGCTGTGCAGGGGGAACAGGCGAGCAGCGAGGCTCTTCGAGGTGAGAGCATGGCCAAGGACACACAGGAGAAGCCTCTCTGAACAGTGACCCGCCTGGGACCCAGCCCCATGTCTTTCTACTCCTGGCGTATACCTAATGTGATGGCAATAATGAATGCTGTGCCGCTCACACCGTGATGGAATGCCCCCCCCTCCAGTGTTGGGGGGTCTGCCCACCTCCCCAGTAGCTCACCTTGCTACAAGGCCCCCTCTTCCCCTCTGACTCCCACATAACATTTCCTTAACTTTGATGTTCAGGGCCATGAGCCTCCCAGGTCAGATTTCCTCCAAAATAGGAGGTGAAGTGTTGTGTTCTACAGTTCAGCTGTCATTTCCAGGTGTCCTGCCCATCTCCCTCCCACAGTACTGTGTGTGCGAGAGTCCCATGTACTATCCAGTGTCATGTGGTCCACACCTGTGACGAGCCCTAAGGGAAGCTGGTCATCATGCTGTTATTTCAAAAATGGTGCACCCAAGCTTGTAGCCATTTACTGCTTTGGGGTTAGGTTAATGTTTCATTGTAGATAATGATTGCCCTAGGATTTCACTCCCATCTCCATAGGGCAGTTCAGTTCAGTTCAGTAACCTCCTGGAGGTTCCTGAGGCTTTTGCAGGTGTGCATGTATATGTGTGAATGGTATGTTTGTATACATGTGCACATGTGTGTGGCATATGTGTGTATATTATGTGTATACATGTGGTTTATGACATATTCATGTGTGTGGTTGTATATTTGATGTAATGATATATTGAGGACTATGGGGGTCCAGCCCCTCGATAGTCCCCTCCCAGGGTCTGGGAAGAATCTACAACCAGCTGATAATTAATCTTTGATGAAAAGAAATGAATCTATATACACGAAACTCCTTAGTTCATACACTTTATTCTTTTGTGTTAGTTCTCTCTCTACACAGCTTCTATTCTGCTCTCATGTCTAGCTCCTTCCTTGCCTGATTTCTCTATATTTGTCTACTGTCCCCTCTAGGTTCTATCTTAATTCCTTCATCTAGTTCTGTCCCTTCTAGGTTCTCATCTATCTAGTTCTTTCCTCTATCAGCTCCTCTCCCGTCTCCTTCTCTCTCATCTGGCTCCTCCTCATCTTGTTCTTCCCCATCTGGCTCTTCCTCATCTTCCATCTCGTTCCTCTTGTCCTCTCTTTTAGCTCTTCAATCTAGTTCTTCCCCATCTCAGTTCGTTCCTCTCAAGTTCTTACCCATCTAGTTCTTCCATTCTCTTTTCTCTTCTCTGTCCTCTCTGGGGGTCCTGGTATATATATACTTACAAGCAGTATTCCCTTAGCAGTGCAAAACCAGGCTTCCAGGGTTAAATGGAGGGGTGATAAGAATCACATAGGGAGGCAATAACCGTTAATTATCATTTGCAACCCCAAAGGGAAGTGACCAATGGGGAAATGGATTAACTAAAGGCTAAATTCAGGTAATATCTAAGAAGAGGGCTCTTATGTGCTCAACTATAATCTTAGAAAGTGTTAAGAATCTATAAGTTGCTAGGTCAATGGGAGAAAATAAAACTGTCTTTTTTTCCTGTGTTCCTATCTGTTCAAGCTATCTGCCGTTTTTCTGCAGGGTGGGGGAAAGTGTGCTCAGTCGCTAGGCAACCTGTGTACAGCTAGATGCCTCTGGTGATAGTTAAAGGGAGATCTGGAACTGGAGGTAAGGTTTGGGAAAGGAGGAAGTAAGGCTTAATTGACACATCTGCCAGGCCTTCTCAAACAGGTAGCCTGGATGCTTAAGTCTATTCTTAGAAAGTATGGAGGTATCTCTGATAAGGTACTTTCCTCCACCTGGGGATGGACATGGCCGGATGCTGCTAATGATGATAATTACAGGGAGGCTTGAACTGGGGTTCTGGCTGAGCATAGCTGTCAGTGCAGAAGGTTATCTAAATATTCCTAAAAGTGGTTAGGTAAGGAGTTAGCGGTCTATAAAGTTAGTAAGGCTGTAAGAAAGGAGGGTCCGAGCTGAATTGTGTAAAGCTATTACTTAATGTCCACCTGACCTAGGTGGTGTCTCCTTGTGGAATTTATCTTAAATCAGGAGACTTGCATGTGGACTGTTATTATTGCTAGTCCTTGAAAGTGAGAATCTGATTCCAGAGAAAGCCTTTCCTGAGGCTGTTCTCCAAATACCTGGAATGTGTATATCCAGAGAGTGATCAGTCCACACTGTTAGCCCTTCTTAGGGAAAAGTCAATTGGGAAAGCTATGAAGGCACACATGATTTTCATAACAGAATACAACTGATATATAACAAGCCAAGTAACACCAAAAACTCCTTGGGATTTGGCTTCCTCTGGAGGAATTCCCTGATTCCTCCAGGTAGTGACTTTGCCATAACCAGCTGAGTTCTTATGATATTCCTGCGGCCCGCAGCAATGATATATGTAGTTGTGTACATATGCTCATGTGTATGACGCCTGTGTCTGCTTGTGTGATGAATACATGTAGCGTGTGTGTGGTCTGTGTGCATGGGTAGTATGTGTAGTGTGTGTATAGGATGCATGTATAGGGTCTTCACTTGCATGCTGCATGGGAAAAGTCAATCATCTTTCCCAGAAGTAGGACAAATTATAACAGACTAAAGGGAAGACTGGAGAGCGGAGCAGCTGTGGCTTTTCCCTGGGAAATGCTGATGTGTGTGTGATGATTTTGTAGCCATGAATCACTCCCCACTCCCCACAGGGGTGCTGTACATCATGTGCCTATGAAATGCAGCCAGGAGGGTATCCCAGACTGTTTCTCGTGTTTCCAGGTTTGGGGGAGGGAGGTCAGTCTCAGGAGGTCCTAGTCAACCAAGACAGCATGTCCCCTTCAATTCTTCTCAAGACACAGGTCCCAGCCAGCATCCTTTGTTCAATCAGCCTGTTCCATAACTGACAGGAAAGCAGGCAGCAGCAGTTCATGTCATAGGCCAAGGAAGAAGAGAGCCTAGCCATCAGCCAACCTAGAGGGACTTCGTGTAGATTCCTCAGAGCAGGGGTTCTCACCTCTGCTGTGTCTGAGACAGGCACCAGCTGTCTCTGTGAAGCAATATGGCTCTACCTGTAAAAGATGGAGTCATCCTGGTGGGACAGAGAAAATGTTGGGTCTCAGATGTACAGCAAGATCCAGAAGTCAGCCCAACTTCTGCCATGTGGCCTTGTCCCACACAGAGGGGGCCTCATGGAAACCTTTGATACTTGAGCAAGCTCCAGGGCTGGGCACATTTCAGCCCACAGTGGGTGGTCCTTAGAGCCAGAACTCCTTCGGGATGGTTAGTTACCATGAGCATTGAGGACCCAGAACCTCAGTTGGAGAATCCACTGTGGCCTATCCTGCCAACCTCCTTATGATTCAAACCTTTCTTGGACAGGAGACTGCAGGGTCTCCTCATGAGAACTGGGCTGTAACCCGGGCTGATCTGTCCCTGCAGCTTGTCAGTCAGAGGCTGCATGTCTACAGCGGTGCTTGCAGGAGCTGGATTCACGCTTCCGCCTGGAACAGCAGAGGAGGAGAACCCTCCATAACAGCCTGGTGGTGAGTGCCTGCCTTGCCAGCGCAGAGGTTCAGCAACTCAGAACGTACCCAAGGATGACTGGGAGGCCACACCTGAGCCACAGTGGGCCAGCATTGCTAGAATCCAAGAGTAAGGCTTGAGGGCAGGAGTCACAGCCCAAGGTCGGGCAGAGGAAGTGAGAGCAGGCCAGCCACCAATTGTCAGTTAGGATCAAGCATCCTCTCCACCCAGAAGCCACTGGCCACTGCTCAGCCAGGAGGCAATGATAAAGAGGAAGAGGGGTCATCACAGTACTGGGGTTAAGAGGCACCAGTGGCTGTGGTCACTAGGTAGGTGATACGACCACATCAAAACATCAGAAACCGACAGTTAACTGATGTGCGATGTGGACAGAGATGGGTAGAGGGCGATTTTTCAGGATATAAAAACCCAGAACCTCAGGGTCTCAGGCCTTGCAAGCATGTTCCTCCCTCAAATCCTTGCACTGATTTTCTCAACCACAAAGGAGGCTCCAAGGGTCTCTTGCCTTCCCAAGAGCATAAGACCTAAGGTCGCTTGGAAGACCAGAAGTTCAAACTCAGGCCTCCACACACTAACGTGAGCAGCCAAGGCCTACAGTTCATTCGGCCAACTTGCTTCTCACAGACATGGCTTCCGTGGTGCGTTTGCCCGGTGTCTGTGAACCCTGCTTCCTCATTTCACAAAGATGTCCTTGGGCATCGCTTGCTTACCTGTTTCAGTGCTCGGAGCAGACCCTCGAGGGTAGTTTCTGGGTGCTCGAAGAGGGTGGTTTCTGGGTGCTCGAAGAGGGTGGTTTCTGGGTACTTGCAGTGCAACCAGCACTGACTAAAGCAATTTAGGGAATTTTCTCTTTTTTTTAATTGAAATTTTTTTCCATATTTCTGACCATGTTTTTCCCCTTCCCCAAACCCTCCCAGGTCCTTCCTATCTCCCTACCTACACAATTTCATGTTCTCTTTCTCTTCAAAAAGAAAAGCAGACCAAAACAACAACAAAAAACAAGTGCGCATGCACGTGCATGCACACACACACACACACACACACACACACACACACACACACACACACACGCACACACACACACACTTTAATCTCAGCACTGCTGGTTCTAAAGGAAAAAGTCCCCCTCCCTGGAGAACCCAACAAGAGCTCATGAGAACATGGCATTCCCACTTCTCTCCAGGTACTAAAGACCTGGGTAGATGCACAGAGCCTGATTGCAAGCTTTTGGGGAAGTATTGCATGGCATGCAAACAGACAGGTTCCAAATGTGCTGACCGGCTGGCTGAAGTGTACCACCCACTGGTCTCCTCAGTACCCAGCTGGAAAGCTCATGAGAGAAGAGAGCTGAAAACCCCACCTCCAGGATCCTGGCTGTGTGTAGAGGTCTCTCATTGTTCACAAACACCCACTAGGCTCTGCCATGGCTGAGACTAAAACTGCCTTCTTATCACCCACTGCCGTCCTTCCCCTGAGCAAGAGACCTACTTCCTGTGTATCTGTCTTTTTATTGACTTTCTGTTCTGCCTTCTCATTGGTTGTAAACCAACCACATGACCTCCTTGTCACTGCCTGTCTGTACAGACCTCCAGGTCTCTATGGTTGGTATTGAGGCGTGTGTCTCCATGCTGGCTGTATCCTTGAACACACACTCTGCCATGTGATCAGATTAAGGGCATGTGCTACCTACCACTGCCTGGTTTCTGCTATGGCTTGCTATTAGCTCTGACCCGCAGGCAACTTTATTTATTAACATACAAATAAAATCACATTTCAGCATAAATAAAATATCACCATAACCACCAGCTCCCAAATAATGACATGGAGACTTCTTAATTGTAAAAGCTTGGCCTTAGCTTAGGTTTGTTTACAACTAGATCTTAAGACTTAAATTAACCATTTATATTCATCTACACTCTTCTGTAGCTAGAGTTTTCCTGCCTTGCCCACAGTCAGGACAAATCTTTGTCACCCGCCAGTCCCACAGCTGCTCAGGCCCAACCAAGTAAACACAGAGACTTATATTGATTACAAACTGTATGCCCATGGCAGGCCTCTTGCTAACTGTTCTTATAGCTTAAATTAATCCATTTCCACAAATCTATACCCTGCCATGTGGCTCGTGGCTTACTGGCATCTTCACATGCTGCTTGTCCTGGCGGTGGCTGGCAGTGACTCCTTTTGCCTTCCTGTTCTTTCTTTTCTCCTCTCTGTTAGTCCTGCCTATACTTCCTGCCTAGCCACTGGCCAATCAGTGTTTTATTTATTGACCAATCAGAGCAACACATTTGCCATACAGAACATCCCACAGCACTTTGCCACATGGCTCTTTACCTCTCTTCTCCATTCTGTATGTCTGACTACCTCTGTGTCTTGCTGGCAAAATGCCCAGTGCCTCTGATTCCTCTCTCCCCCTGGAAGTCCCACCTAGTCTCTCCTGCCTAGCTATTGGCCATTCAGCTCTTTATTAAACCAATCAGAAGACATCTTAGGCAGAGACGGTCTCAGCTTTAGTTGTAACATCTTGAATGCTGGACTCCTCTGTTCACGTGTTGACCATCCCATCCTCCCTACCCCCTTCCTAGGGTGGCGAAGATCCCTTCTGTTTCTAAGGCTAGCACCTATACTCTGCAAGTAGATGGGTCTGTTGGATCCTGCCTCCTCTCCCTGGTCTCTCACTTGCCCACATCCCGGTCCTACTTTGTGGAAGCATTCCAGGGCTGCTTTGCCGTGTGAGCCGTCCTACCCCAGTTCACCTGCATGCTTACTGGTGTGCTAATGGTCCTTGCACTTTTCTGGGGGTTCTTCTGTAGTCTGAGCGGGGCAGAACCAAGGCTGTCTGAAGGACATCCAGAGGCATTTGGTTACAGGATACCTGCTTGCCAGGTCTGTTGGGCCTAACTGGTTGTCGCCAGCCCAAGTCAGCTATGTGAGTCAGAGCTGGCAAGAAGGCTCTAAGGGTTGTGCTGACCAGAGGCCTGCTGGGCCTCAATCCCAGTCTCTGTGCAGTGGCCCCAGCTACCTCAGGAGAGCATTGGGACCGAACTGAGTGAATGGATAGAGAAAATGATGGCTGGAGGCATCATAACTGAGCTCAGGGTGCTTTCTGGTACCTTGTAGAAGATGGATGGGCTGCTTCCAGGCAATCCCCCAGGTGACCGCAGTGGGGAGGCTTTGTCACTCAGGTCTGGGGCACAGGTGCCGCCGCCTGAGCAGCAAGCTCCGAAGGTCAGCTGTGTTTAACACCAGCTTGGCAGAAGTGGAACTCAGCTTCACAGCACTGGATCCTGTCTTGACAGTATCCACAAAACAGCGTAAATCCTGCGTTCGTCCGCTCCTGTGACCTGGAGGACGCTGGCCTCCCTGCTCTGAGCAGAGCTCACTTCCACTTTGTTTTCCTCCGGGCAGTAAATCTCCATGCCGTCATCTGGATGACCCCGTGGAAATTCAGGATACCAGCCCCAAGCCAAATTCTTGAAATTCCTCCTAAAATGCCTGAGAGAATTTAGCCCAAGATACCAGGAAATGGATATTTGTTGCTGCTTAAGGAACAAATCTGTTAAAGTTGAATACAAAAACTCTGAGTAGCACTGAGCTGGCTGCCCTGTGGGGAATTTCAGAGGTTGGGGCCTACTGCTGCTGAGCCAGCCTCCGTGGTGTTGAAAGCTCTTTGTTGTTGTAGGAGCTGAAAGGAAACATCCGAGTCCACTGTCGCATCCGCCCCTTTCTGTCATTTGATAAAGAGTTGGATGGTTCGGCTTCACAGAACTGGTAATTTACTTCCTGTCTGTGTGTGGCTTGGGTTGGGGACGCGTTTGAAGAGAAAGGCTTAGGATAGTGGCCGGAATTACAGTGTCCCTGTGTCCCCCCCACCTTGGACCCTGGAGCAGCTCCTGGTGCCTAGGGGGAGCTGTCTTTTGGGGTGGTGCCCCTTGTTGATGATGCAGGGCAGGCCCAATGGGACCAAGTTTGAATGTGGCCAGAATGTCTGCAGAAGCATGTCTATTGGGCTAAGTCTCTGTCCTGTCCAGTCGCAGGGTCTCACCCCACCCAGCCTTCCCCTTTAGGTTAAACCAAAGGGGGCATCCCTTCATCCTTCCTTCCTCTAGAGACCTCTCATCAGTGCTAAGGCATGTCAAGTTGTGATGGCTGCTACTTCCGACTTACAGGAAGTCTTGGTGGCGATAGTGGGAAGCTACAGTGAGTACTTGACCACTAAGCTCAACAGGACATGGCCCATGCTCCTAAGAAGACCCAGACCCCTGCCTCTGTCTCCTTCCCTTCTCAACTCTATCTTCCCTACCTCTGGGCTAGCCTGGTCTCCCTGGGATCTGCAGTGGGTGTTGACTCCCAGGCCTGCTCCATGTTTTGGATCCTGTTGTCCCATCCCATAACAGTTTTACTCTTCTGAGAGGCCTAGCTGAGACTTTTCTGTTTATATTACATACTCCTAGTATGACACATGCCATCTCTGGGGTGTGTGTGTGTGTGTGTGTTTTATATGTGTACATGTTTGTGTAGGTGCATACACAAGGCGACAGGAGATGCTGGGCATCTTCTTCTATCATTCTTCACGTTATTCTTTTGAGGCAGTGTCTCTCCCTGAACTTGGAGCTTGAATTTTCATCTAGGTTGGCTGCCAGTGAGCCCCACACACCTTCCTGTCTCCACCCCTAACTCGTTAGAGATATGCAAGGCCGTGCCTGGCTTGTTGTATGGGTGCTAGGATCCAGACTCACATCTTGAAGTGCTCTTAACCAGTGAGCAATATTGCCAAGCCCCAAATACTGTCTGTTTTTAGTGGTGGCAGAGTGTTTTCTTTTCAGATCTTTAAGTCTTCCATTCTGCTAGCCATGGTGCAATAAGATGCTTTCACACCATTAGCCGTGGTCATTTGTCCACAGCTGCAGCTGCAGAAGAGCAGTGTCCTGTAAGACTTAGTTCTGAAGAGCAGTGAGCTTTCCTGAACATGCCCTTCAATCCTACTCACGGGCTTGCTTCTGTTACACTGTTGATCTGTTCCCATCTGCAGGGTATAGCAGCCATCCCCAAATCCTTGGTCTAAATGAGTGCAAACTCAGGCAATAATGATTGCTTTCTCAGTCACCCCCACTGCATCCCGCACTCCAGATGAAATGCTGAAGAGTTCAGATGCAGACGTTCCCAGTATGGCTAGGTGGTCACTAGGTTGTTCATCTCCCTCAAAGGCCCCTTCTGAGGTGGCAAAATATCCATGGACGCTCTTGTTGCTTATTCTTCTTCAATTTTTGTTTTGAAACATACTGCTTTTTTTTTTTTTCAGGTTCCTGATTTTTTTATTTTATTTTTTTTTTCTGAGACAGGGTTTCTCTGTGTAGCTTTGGTGCCTGTCCTGGATCTTGCTCTGTAGACCAGGCTGGCCTTGAACTCACAGAGATTCACCTTCCTCTGCCTCCTGAGTGCTGTAGGTTCCTGATTCTTATAGGCATTGGAGCTCCTGTGGGCACACAGTCTGGCATTGCTTTTCTTATCACTCTTGCCCTAAAACTGGTATGTGTGTGGGTGATAGTCACATATTGCATGGATCCTAGCCCAGAGCTGACCCACCCTCAGAACACGTGCAGGGGGTGGGATATAAAATGAAAGGTAAAGAAGGAGAAGGTGGGATGTGTGGCAGAGGTTTTACAACAGAGCATCAGGAAAGCAGAGTGTGGACACAGAGCAGCAGGCATAAGAAGATTGCCAGTGCACAGAGTTTGGATGTCAGGAGCTGAGGAAGAAGCTGCACCCAATGGTGTTCTTATAACGGCTGTCTTATCTCTACAGCAACACCCCTGGAGAAGTGGCCCATGCTGTTGATGATGTAAGTAGCCCCTAGTGATCAAACACTGGAAATAGTTTTAATGATTTGATGGCCTTTTTTGTTTTTTGAGACAGATAAACTGTTTAGTCCTTGTTGTCCTGGAACTCACTTTGTAGACCAGACTGGCCTTGAACTCAAATCCACCTGCCTCTGCCTCCTGAATGCTGGGATTAAAGGCGTGTGCCGCTGTTACCACCCAGCTTTTTTTTTTTTTTTTTTTTTTTTACAAAAGATAAAGAATGACTATAGTTGTTTTCAAAAATTAACAGAGCCTCTGGAAATAAACACTTTTAAGATCTTTACTTTTTTTCTTTAAAGCCATTTTTTTACATTTATTTGCTGTAGATGTATATGTGACATATGTAGATATCAGTGGACAACTTACAGGAGTTGTTTCTCTCCTTCCAGCTTGACATGGGTGCCAGGGATAGAACTCAGATGGTCAGTCTTGGAAGCAAGCTCCTTTAACCTCTGATCCCTCTCTCTGGCCCCCAAAGTATATTTTGTTCTGTTCCCCATGCACACTGTGATGCCCCAAGCACTAGCATTGCTAAGACAAGCAAAAGGAGACCTTCAGAATCTTCAGGTTTGGGGATTTAAAGACATCCCACAGCTGGCTATAGTGGGACACATCATTAATCTCACCCCTTGGGAGGCAGAGGTAGGTAGATCTCTGTGAGTTCCAGACCAGCCTGGACTACATGGTGAGTTCTAGGACAGCCAGAGCTACATAGTGAGACTCTGTCTCAAAAAAACCAACAAAACAAAACAACACCCCCCAACACACACACACACACACACACACACACACACACACACACACACACACACACACATTCCACCCTCAAGTTGCTAGCCCTCTCATCCTTAGGTGAGCTCTTAGAGTACCAGGGACCATAAACAGCACCTAGTCTAGCCTTTCCAGTCTGCAGCCTTCTGGTCAACCCTCAGGAATATGCGCTGAGAAAACACATCCTTGAGCAGATTTCTGCCAGCTGGTGGGGAAGTGAGGTTGTGTTGCCCTTTATTCTATCACCCCTTAGCAGACCTTCCTGAGCCCTGTCAAAATTCCACTCACCACATTCAGAGGGCTTAGTGTTTTCAAGTCTAACTCAACAAAATAAGATAACATTTCTTTTGATTGTAGCATTTTGGATTGCGTTTAAGAGATATCAGCAGAATGCAAACTGTTTAATAAGTAGGTCTGCGTGTTAGGACTACATGTAATCTTATCTGCTGAGTGAGTGAATGGTTGGTTCATGACCTTGCCTCTCTTGGCTTTCATGGTATTTTTATCCCTGAAGCCTGAAGAGTTTATGTTGGCGCCTCCTGTGATCTCAGTGTCCAGCACCTCTGGACTTACCCTGTAAGTAAGACCAGATTCACATGGCTGCTCTTGTTCTGGAGAGCCTAAGGTTTGCTTGTTTACACTTTTCATTTGATCCACATCTTCTTACTTGAAAGACTCGGGAGAACAGCTTGTTGGCTTTGCAGCAACACTGGTGGACCTGCAGTGGAGGTTCTCCCTGCTACCGACTTGAATTCCTGAATTCCTATGACATTGTAGAATAAGCTATCTTACATAGTTTTGGGCATTTGAATACGTGGTCCCCAGCTGGTGACTCTGTTTGGGTAGATTTAGGAGGTGTGACCTGCTGGAGGAAGAATGTCCTTGTGGGGGGTGCTTTGTGATTTCAAAGCCTTGCACTTTCCCAGTTCTCTCTCTCTCTCTCTCCCTCTCTGCTTTGTGTTTTCGATTCAAGATGTGAGTCCTCAGCTTCCTGCTCCTTCCACCATGACTTGCTATCGTGGAACTTCAGCCCCTATAAACTCTTTATAGGTTGCTTTGGTTGTGGTGTCTTATGACCATCATAGAAAAATAACTAATATAGGTGTTGATATGAAGGAGTGGACTATTGCTATAACACCTGGTCACGCTGGTGCCCTGTTTTGTTTTTTGAAGAGGGTGGAAGACTTTGGAACTTTGAACTAGAAGAGATTGAGCACTGTAAGCAGAGTTTAGTGGGCTGTCCTAGTAGGAGCTAGGAAGCCAGTAGTGCCAAGAGCCACGCAGACCGTGGAAGCCAGGGCAAGGGGATTCAGAGGGGAACAATAGTTTTAGCAATCGGGCTAAAAACCTTTTCTGTGGTGGTTTTTTGCAAAAATGTGGCTTCTTTCTGCCCTTGTCCTAAGAACTTACCTGAGGCTAAATTTAAAAGTAACGGACTAATTTATTTGGTGATGGAGATTTCAGGAGAGCCCAATATTGACTCTGTTATGTGATGATTAGTGATTCCTCTTAACAGGTCTTCAATGAAAAAGAGCAAATGGTACAGAAAGAAATACAAAATGTATAGTTTGGAGAGAAAAAGGACACTGGCAAGTTTAATGTTATAGCCAATGCTTATGTTAGAAGAGAGCTGAAATTGTTAAGGAGATCAGCATCATTAATAAGAGGCCAGATTTCCTGAAGGCAAGACCTCACCCAGCTAAGCTTCTAAGGTATGAAAGGGAGCTGAAGGCATGTTCCGTCCCTAGGAGGCACCTGCAATCAAAGGCTGCTGCTAATGTGGTTCATGGGGCCCGGGGCTTTTCCAGGGGTCAGCCCTGTGTATCCTTGTCAGTCCCTAAAAGTAAACAGCACAGCATACTGTGTGGACTGAGAGAGTTGAGAAAGTATGGTTGAGAAGGTATGCTACTTTTCATCTCTACATAGAGATAGTATGTCGGTGACCTGAAGTTACCGGTCGCTTACCATCACTGTGACCCCCAGACCGTGTCTGTTCCCCAGTTCACAGTGCCGTCCGGCACTCAGCGTCAGCTGTTGTACAAGTAGTGTTCCCCCAAGTCGACAGATGACAGAGCGGAAGGTAGACTTAGTGTCCCCAAGTCGACAGATGACAGAGTGGAAAGTAGACTTAGTGTCCCCCAAGTCTACAGATGACAGAGCAGAAGGTAGACTTAGTGTCCCCCAAGTCAGCAGATGACAGAGTGGAAGGTAGACTTAGTGTCCCCCAAGTCGACAGATGACAGAGCGGAAGGTAGACTTAGTGTCCCCCAAGTCGACAGATGACAGAGCGGAAGGTAG